TTAAGTGTTACTTATTTATTACTTAAGGTTCTTGTGGAAGGCATGACTCAAAGTAGGTCAAATTATAAGCTACAAGCAGTGGGTGGTTGTAAGTAAAATGTAAGATGGTTTCTCTCGGATATTTTAGTTGGATGCTCACCGATGTATACATTTACATGAAAATATTACCACAACTTTTTTATTTTGATTCAAGATTCACAATTTTAAGATAATAAAAAAAAAAGAATCACATTCTTTAGATATTCAAGAATGAGTTATTTTATATGGTAATGATTTTCATAGCAAAATCTGAATGATGAACTACTATTCTTAAGCATTTATTTGCTTGTGAATTGCCAACAAAAATTACCACTAAAACTAATAATTAAAACCAAAATGGAGTAAATATAAATATTATAGGTAGAAGATTTCGGGTATTTACCGACCAGGCCCCAACCAAGGTGATGGTGAACGAAAAGAATTTGTCTAGACCAACATAACCATCAGTTAAAATAATGCCTCGACTTTTATAGTAAGGTCAAGCCCATTGTTCGCCTCATGGCTTTGACCTGGGCTAGGATTGGGTTTTGACGTCACACGTCTAAACCCCTTCCAATCCATAAGATCTCGGTCAGGCAACTGACATGCAGTGCTCGATGTTGAGTTTTGAATGGGGTTTCTAGATGTGTTGAATATGGCCATACCTTCATGTTATTTACCCTCGTTATTCGAATTTCATAATGAGATCAAATGTATTTTGCATAAGGTTAGATAACCAGAAAAAGTTGAATGAACACAATGTTAGGTTCGCTGTAAACGAGTTGAACTGGGAGCAGGTGTTGTGACCTGACACCATTACAGAGGGCTGCCAATGATGCGGCTGATAAAGGCGCTAAGACACGGCACACCTGGGATATCTGCCGACACACCTGGGATATCTGCCGGCAACATCCGAAACCATTTACCGGAGCTAGTTCAGCCAGTAAAAAGCAACAGAATGTTTACTTAGTGTATTGAACCAGCTACTGGATAAACCTGGTGTACCAAAAGACCAAGGTCACTATATCAAAGGCCTATCTCTATCTCTTTATAAACAACCGGTAACGTGAACAATGGTCCTCACATGTTTACTTCATGGGATCCATTCTACATACTTTTTAAAGTCAGAATGTCCGTCTGTCAGTGAATGTATGTATGTATTATGGTATATGAGTGTGTCTGTCAGTGGATGTATGTATGTATTATGGTATATGGGTGTGTCTGTCAGTGGATGTATGTATGTATTATGGTATATGAGTGTGTCTGTCAGTGGATGTATGTATGTATTATGGTATATGAGTGTGTCTGTCAGTGGATGTATGTATGTATCATGGTATATGGGTGTGTCTGTCAGTGGATGTATGTATGTATTATGGTATATGAATGTGTCTGTCAGTGGATGTATGTATGTATTATGGTATATGAGTGTGTCTGTCAGTGGATGTATGTATGTATCATGGTATATGAGTGTGTCTGTCAGTGGATGTATGTATGTATTATGGTATATGAGTGTGTCTGTCAGTGGATGTATGTATGTATTATGGTATATGGGTGTGTCTGTCAGTGGATGTATGTATGTATTATGGTATATGAGTGTGTTTGTCAGTGGATGTATGTATGTATTATGGTATATGAGTGTGTCTGTCAGTGGATGGATGTATGTATCATGGTATATGAGTGTGTCTGTCAGTGGATGTATGTATGTATCATGGTATATGGGTGTGTCTGTCAGTGGATGTATGTATGTATTATGGTATATGGGTGTATCTGTCAGTGGATGTATGTATGTATTATGGTATATGGGTGTGTCTGTCAGTGGATGTATGTATGTATCATGGTATATGAGCGTGTCTGTCAGTGGATGTATGTATGTATTATGGTATATGAGTGTGTCTGTCAGTGGATGTATGTATGTATCATGGTATATGAGTGTGTCTGTCAGTGGATGTATGTATGTATTATGGTATATGAGTGTGTCTGTCAGTGGATGTATGTATGTATTATGGTATATGGGTGTGTCTGTCAGTGGATGTATGTATGTATCATGGTATATGAGTGTGTCTGTCAGTGGATGTATGTATGTATTATGGTATATGGGTGTGTCTGTCAGTGGATGTATGTATGTATTATGGTATATGGGTGTGTCTGTCAGTGGATGTATGTATGTATCATGGTATATGAGTGTGTCTGTCAGTGGATATATGTATGTATTATGGTGAGTGTGTCTGTCAGTGGATGTATGTATGTATTATGGTATATGAGTGTGTCTGTCAGTGGATGTATGTATGTATCATGGTATATGAGTGTGTCTGTCAGTGGATGTATGTATGTATTATGGTATATGAGTGTGTCTGTCAGTGGATGTATGTATGTATCATGGTATATGAGTGTGTCTGTCAGTGGATATATGTATGTATTATGGTGAGTGTGTCTGTCAGTGGATGTATGTATGTATTATGGTATATGAGTGTGTCTGTCAGTGGATGTATGTTTGCAATCTAACTCTAGTTTGACCCATTTTCAATAATGATTTTTAAGCGTGTCAGATGACATTGCAAACAAAATCTTTTTTTTTAAAAATGTAAGTATTAAATAACTAAGTGGGAGGCAATGGCACGACCAGAGAGTTTTCATGAATCTTTTCATATGTAGACCATCATAAGGTACCGAGTGGCTTTATAACGGATATTGGAATACACCAAGCCACTGATCAACTGATGTTTAAGGGGGGAAAGGGATCGAAGAGACTTTAGTGTGCACTAAAATATAAAAACATAACTCTCTTTAGTTATAACAACAACAATAACGTTTGTCGCTCAAGAAAAATATTCAATGCCTATAGTTAACAACAGTTCTATTGTAATATTTATAATAGCTAAAGAAAGTGTATGTTTGTTTTCTTATTTGTTGTTACCAGGTTTTTTGTAGCGTACATGGTTTATGTTAAGAGTGAGGAAATGTGAAGCAACTTGAGAACCTTTGAACAAGCCATGGGGTGACAGAAAGCTTATGGGCGTGGCTAAAGGCCACTCACCAAAGCTTCTTTAAAAAAAAAAACCCCATCAAATTTCGTTACGTATTACTTTATGGGTGCGGGGAAGGGGAGTTGGGTCAAAAAGTAAATCTCAACTCACACATTCTTTGATATCCAGTGTGTAAAGACTGTCTTCCCATGGTTTACAACACGTTCAAAAGTTCGCTAGAAGAGAGTAATACACTTAAATACACGATTGTTGTCTTGTTTAACCAGGAAACAAAATCTCAAGATTGCCTGGGACTTTGGTGGGCTTTTATTTTAAAACTATTCGTAATCCCTTGTTGACGTAAGTCTACTGCACATAAGGAAGTTATATGGAGGTATACAGTGTTTCTTCCAGACTTTTTTCTCCGGGGGGGGGGGGGGGGGGGAACCCCTTGAAATTTTCGGTGGGGGGGGGGGGCGGTAGACATTCTTCGGGGGGGGGGGCAGACTTTCATCAGATGTAATAGTTGGACGATATAATTATAAGAGCATGGGGCATTGCGTATCTACTATGATTTATAAGAGTATAACGTGCCGTTCAGTTTTCGCTGCAGTTTGCATATATAACAGATACTTTCCTACCTAACAAACTCCTACACAATGAAAATATCTTAATGCGTATTTAAAATAATGAAAAAAAAACTTCCCTAGAAGTGATAAGCGCGATCTGAAACAAACTGCTGAATAGACACACATTCAAAATAGAAGTGTAGGGGCGGGGTAGGGTGGGTAGCGTAGGTTGGTTGAAGGAAGGGCGCTATTACGTTGGGTAGACGCTAAAACACGACTTACTGTTTTTAATTTAGTTTTTTTTTCAAACGGGGAGGCAACTAAAACATTATCAATCATATTTCGTAAGTCAGTTACCCCCCTTAACTAATTTTTTTTTTTACTTTGCTACGTGTGCGATAATCGCACTTCGTTAACATATAATACGTAGTAAATGCCCATATGTAAATGATTGGCTAACTTTTCAACAGTCCACTCAGGGTTCTCAGCTTTTTTTTTTATTGTAATCATACAGATACACTGTGTTATTTAGGGCGGGCTGATGATATACAATAGATTCGTTACAACAGTGCACGTGGTTTTGTTTATTATTTATTTATTGTGCAGCCGTTTTGATTGGATAAATGGTTGCCCTAACAGGTTCACATTTTAACAAACACAAAAATGGATTTACAACAGCTATGAGGATTTATAAATACGATTTCCATCATAATGTTATAAAAATTAGTTTTTATAAAACAAATAATGTATTTGTGTTGTAGGAGTAGGGGGCGGGGAGGGGGGGGGGGGGGTCCTAGAAATGTAAAAAGAAGAGGAGTGGTGGTGTTCTTAGAAAATGTCATATAACATTTTACGTGTGTAGGATGGTGTGTCTAAATATCATATTTTTGTGTTACACTATTATGCCCACAATTCCGGATCTCAAATATTAACATAATGGAGTGGAGTTTGCTGACGTCATTCAATAGGTGTCGTCCACAAGGTATCACTTTACTAGTACTGCTTATATTAACTCAGAGCTACTCACACTTTAAACTAAAAGACTGAAAGTTTAAAACGGAAAATAATATACCCCCAAACTTCAAGATACACAATCACAACTCAAGGACTGAAAAGTTAGAAACTAAACTAGGGGAAGCAACTACATATTCATGCCATTAAAAAAACAAAACTATTCACCTTCTTACTTCTTATTCAAGTTGAAATAAGTTATTTGAAAATTTATATTAAGCCAAATTGCAGATAGTCCAACACTACACAAAATTACAGGGCAGATCAAACTTGCTAATTAAGAAAAGTCCATATATATATATATATATATATATATATATATATATATATATATATATATATATATATATATATATATATATATATATATATATAAAAGCAAATACAAAAGTCTAGAATGGGACTGCATGGCCTAGAGATAGAGCACTGGGCTGCTAACCTGAAATGGTCCAACTTGAATCTGGGTTCAATTCAGTGGAACATCCCTGAGTCCACAAAACTCACAATAGGGAAAGTAAAGGGGCTGGAAATAGTGCCGCCCACACTACCACTTCATATGCCAAGGTCACAGATACAGGTGAATTCTACTTGCCCCATGGACCATCAGGTTCAAAACTCTTTACTGTCTAGAATAACCTAATGCTTAATGTAAAGAGAAAGATCAAACTAATTTGGAAATTTCAGTGAAATAAAAAAGAAGACAAGATATATTCACAAAACGTCTTTATTTAAATTTTTGCAATTATTAAGTAAGTACCCTTTCGAACCTTATGGTCCATAGGGCATGTGAAGTTGAGTTTACCTTTTTTATTTACCTCTGTGTATGAATGGATGGCAATTATAGTGTTTAGGAATTATAACATAATTTGATTTTAGCATGCCAAAAAAAACTTTTTTAAATGCACTAACCTTGCATCAAGCAGCAGATCCAGACAATTTAGAATATTATTTTTCAGACTCCTGGTTTTTAAAGAAAAGATCCCACTGCTGGCTGAATTTTTATTTTTTACAAAATATTCTCACAGGTCTCTATAAATTATTATTAGGCCTAGTAGCTATTATTTAGTAAGTAAGCCCACTTTCCTAAGCCTAATTAAATTTAGTTAGTATAATACAGTAACAATTAAAATTCAATGACAATTAAAAGGCACTAAAATGTTACATTCTATTTCTTCACTTTAACCTAAAGCTTACATTACATAATGGGAGGGTGTAGTCCAACGGTACAGTGCTCAATTGCTTACTAAAAATTCTAGAGTTCTGATCCTGACTCGAGTCTGAATGATGTCCCAGAGTCCACTGAGCTCTGATCGGTACCTGGTTTAAGTTACGGAAAGTAAAGGCGGCTGGGCATAATACTGAATACACTATCCCTTCATATGCCAAAAACAGATGAACTCTACTTCACCTACTCTATGAACCTTAACCGTTTTAAAGGGTACTTTACTTACACCAACAGATCCACAATTAGTTCTAGGCCTCATTAAGTATGAAATTTATTAGGCCTATCTACTAGTTTTACATTTTAATACCTAACGCGCAGGCTACTAACAAAATTTGTAAAAGTTTTAACAAATTAAAATTCATTAGAGCCTAATGATTAAAATTTTTTTTTTTTTTTACATTTTTTGTAGGGCCACTTTAGTACTTAGATTAGGTCTACCTAATCAGTCCGTTCATATACTGATTTGTACCACCGATGATGACTTTTTAAAATTGTTTGGCCAAGATCTAGGCTCTCTTTTTAATATTTAAAAAAATATTTAAAAAAAATTAAGCCCTTTAAAAATTAATCTATTATTGTCTAGGCTACAAGACAAGACCTAGTCTACTTACTCAGTACTCAGTAGTCTACTGGTTTTAATTTTATTATGTTTGAGTTTGATTCTTACTCAAATCTAGACTTCTAGATCTAAATAAATAATATTACTATTAGGCATATTTATAATAGATCTAAAGGGGCCTGTTTATAATTAAATATAATAGATAATAGGCTACTATTTAATTAATAGATTCTTTAGGCCTCACCTAAGCCCTCCTTAAATGCTACGTTTTGTAATTTATAATAAAAATTGGCCTAATTAATAGGCCTATTATTATTAAAGATCTAGATCTAGAATCTAGGCCTTAGTAATTATTTTGAGATGTAGAAATCTATTTAATCTAAAATCTAGTCTAGATCTAGAATCTAGACTACTCTACATATTTTAATTTTTATTTTAGTCTGTCTAATATAAATATTTTTATTTAAAATTTAAATTAATGATTATTGATGAATAATGGAAAAAAGCCTCGCAGAATGATAAGATCAATCACAGATCTAAAATTCTAAATCTGTCTAATCTAGTCGTAGTAATACTGTAATAAATAATATTATTACTAATAATATAACATCTACATCAAGTCATTAACATAACTAATATTAACTACACCATACTATTAACTACTATTAACTAGATCTAATGTAAATGTAGATCTGGGTCTAGAATAAGGCTCAAGAAGCTAATCGTCACTCACTAATCTAGAGCTGGGGTCTAAGTCTCACTGTAGCAGTAGCTAAATCTAGTCCTTCACTATAGACTAGACTAGATCTAGATTTCTAGATTTAGATCTAGATTCTAGTTACAATAAAGTATTAAAAGCGGCTAACGAACGCGGTGAGATTGAGAAGTCTCCCACACTCACCGCACATATTTATATCCTGTGACCCATATAATTATAAACGAGAGCTTGAATCTACGTCAGTCTGAACAATACTTAAGAAATAACGATTAGAAGACAGAGACTTTTGCTAGCTCTATTTTTGCTTCTCTTTCTAAATAGCGAGGAGGTAGGCCACATTCTGCTACTTTGACCTTTCACCTATTGTTCAGAAATGCGGGGAAGAAATGGTGCTGCTTTATGTACTAAAGGACTAGAATCTAGATCTAGGTTTTTTAATACTGGATTCTAGATCTAGATCCAGATCTTGGTCGGCGAAATAATGAGAATGCAAAAGGTGAATCATTGTAATACATTTAAATACATAAACAAGCATTTCAGTGATTCTCATTATAAAGGGAACCGGAAACACTGCTGGCTTCCTACGTTGAATTGCTCGTATCTCAAAGTAATATTTTCTGTGAAATTAAAACGCCATTAACCCTTTCAAGCCCCCGAAATTCCACCCTCTGGTTTTTGTTACATGTCTTTTGGTAGCCACAGAGGCGTAGCGACCCTTCCCGGCGCCCGGGGACAAACTTTTCGATTTGCAAACCCCCTTCGAGATTTCGATTTACACCCCCCCCCCCTCAAACTTTCGATTTGCACCCCCCCCCCCTCGAGATTTCGATTTGCACCCCCCCCCTCAAACTTTCGATTTGCACCCCCCTCAACCTTTCAATTTATTTTTCCAACCCATTTTGGCGCCCCCTAAGGTCGGCGCCCGGGGACATATGTCCCCCCGCCCCCGCACCCCCCCCCCTCGCTACGCTACTGGGTAGCCATAAATGACGTACTCTTAAGAAGAGGACGGGGGTGGGGTGTCATAATTTTGGATTGGGGAGGGGGTGTCAATATAGGCCTAGTGTGACAGCATACAGCATTTACAAAAATAATGTCAGAAACTGAATTTTAGCATTCATTTCACAGCATTCACGGGATAACCAGAGTAGAAGATGACTATTGCCATTGACCTTTTTTTTTTTTTTTTTTTTTTTTTTTTTACAAATACTCGCCCATGAAGAACTCCACCATTACTTGTAATTGTAAGAATGGAATCCAGTGGACATTACGGAGTCAACTGCTTGACATAGACTTGGCAGACGAAAATGCAAACCCCATGCACTGCCAACAACATGCTGGGGGAGACACATGTCGTTGATTGTTCACATTGTTGCAGCATTTTACGATGACAAGTTTTGGACCTGCAGTGACCTGATCCGGACGGGACTAGTCAAGGCTAGGTAGCAGAGCAGGGAGGACGAGGGTATTGGTGGACTAGAAGACTACTTCGACGTTGTCAACTTATCTTTCATGTATTACAATCACCGGTTGTAACAATCTTGTTGCCTAGTTTCTCATACACTTCGTATTTACGACCACCAGTTCGAAATGACAGAGGGATACGTGTATATATATATATATATATATATATATATATATATATATATATATATATATATATATATATATATATATATATATATATATATATATATATATATATAGTATAATAAGTTGTTTAAATAAGTCATCAAATTCGACTAGTAACTAGTTTATATTGAGTTAATTCCCTTGCAATGTGAAAACTCGACTATTCTCCACAAAATCTGACACTTGCCCCTTACTTACCTGCCAATAAGCTTTGTTTGTTTCAAAATAATCTCTTCTCTATTGCATAAAATGAAATACAACATGCAGTTAAGTTACATAACGAGAGGAAGGGAGAAGTATACACATTTTTTAAATGCAGCTGCTTGCAGTATCGGTTGACTATAAGACGATAATACGCTCCATAACGTAAAGCACAAAATAGCAACACCAAATACGACAAAAATATATACGCTGTCCCATAAAACTACAACTTCAACCCTACTAACGTTTAGTTAAACTTTAACCACAGTGTCAGAAAATAAACGAGCCTTTTGTACAATAAAACCTCGATTTTCACTGAAATTAAAAAGTTCAAATGTCAGTGAAACTTGAATTCGCCGCAAAGATGTGCGCAGAGGTAAACCGCCACCACCGCGGATGGAATATCAAAACATTAAATAGAAAAAATAATAAAGAAAATAGGGCTTCTAAACTTGTAACCCGAAAATCCTGGTCAAATCAGTAGCACCCAACTCCGATGGGTACATTACTCACGTTAGGGAAAGCAAAAGCGGCTGGGCATAGAGCAGAGGTCCTTGAAACAGATTAACTCTACTTCATCTGCCCCATGTGTCTTGGGCACGACCGGGAAAAGATGATGCTGTTAGAAAATACATACACCACCCCCTGGAAGTTTAAGATCCCCCCTCCCCCATCGGAGCAAAATGTCTGACGCTTGCAAATATACCGGGGTCTATTTTAATGGGGGCCAGTAGTTTGGGACTCGGGGATCTATTTTAATGGGGGCCAGTAGTTTGGGACTCGGGGATCTATTTTAATGGGGGCGAGTAGTTTGGGTCTCGGGGATCTATTTTAATGGGAGCCAGTAGTTTGGGACTCGGGGATCTATTTTAATGGGGGCCAGTAGTTTGGGACTCGGGGATCTATTTTAATGGGGGCCAGTAGTTTGGGTCTCGGGGATCTATTTTAATGGGAGCCAGTAGTTTGGGACTCGGGGATCTATTTTAATGGGGGTCAGTAGTTTGGGACTCGGGGATCTATTTTCATGGGGGCCAGTAGTTTGGGACTCGGGGATCTATTTTAATGGGGGCCAGTAGTTTGGGTCTCGGGGATCTATTTTAATGGGAGCCAGTAGTTTGGGACTCGGGGATCTATTTTAATGGGGGCCAGTAGTTTGGGACTCGGGGATCTATTTTAATGGGGGCCAGTAGTTTGGGACTCGGGGATCTATTTTAATGGGGGCCAGTAGTTTGGGTCTCGGGGATCTATTTTAATGGGAGCCAGTAGTTTGGGACTCGGGGATCTATTTTAATGGGGGCCAGTAGTTTGGGACTCGGGGATCTATTTTAATGGGGGCCAGTAGTTTGGGACTCGGGGATCTATTTTAATGGGGGCCAGTAGTTTGGGACTCGGGATCTATTTTAATGGGGGCCAGTAGTTTGGGACTCGTGGATCTATTTTAATGGGGGCCAGTAGTTTGGGACTCGGGGATCTATTTTAATGGGGGCCAGTAGTTTGGGACTCGGGGATCTATTTTAATGGGAGCCAGTAGTTTGGGACTCGGGGATCTATTTTAATGGGGGCCAGTAGTTTGGGACTCGGGGATCTATTTTAATGGGGGCCAGTAGTTTGGGACTCGGGGATCTATTTTAATGGGGGCCAGTAGTTTGGGACTCTGGGATCTATTTTAATGGGGGCCAGTAGTTTGGGACTTGGGATCTATTTTAATGGGGGCCAGTAGTTTGGGACTTGGGATCTATTTTAATGGGGGCCAGTAGTTTGGGACTTGGGATCTATTTTAATGGGAGCCAGTAGTTTGGGACTCGGGGATCTATTTTAATGGGGGCCAATAGTTTGGGACTCGGGGATCTATTTTAATGGGGGCCAGTAGTTTGGGACTCTGGGATCTATTTTAATGGGGGCCAGTAGTTTGGGACTTGGGATCTATTTTAATGGGGGCCAGTAGTTTGGGACTTGGGATCTATTTTAATGGGAGCCAGTAGTTTGGGACTCGGGGATCTATTTTAATGGGGGCCAGTAGTTTGGGACTCGGGGATCTATTTTAATGGGGGCCAGTAGTTTGGGACTCTGGGATCTATTTTAATGGGGGCCAGTAGTTTGGGACTTGGGATCTATTTTAATGGGGGCCAGTAGTTTGGGACTTGGGATCTATTTTAATGGAGGCCAGTAGTTTGGGACTCGGGGATCTATTTTAATGGGGGCCAGTAGTTTGGGACTTGGGATCTATTTTAATGGGAGCCAGTAGTTTGGGACTCGGGGATCTATTTTAATGGGGGCCAGTAGTTTGGGACTCGGGGATCTATTTTAATGGGGGCCAGTAGTTTGGGACTCGGGGATCTATTTTAATGGGGGCCAGTAGTTTGGGACTCGGGGATCTATTTTAATGGGGGCCAGTAGTTTGGGACTCGGGATCTATTTTAATGGGGGCCAGTAGTTTGGGACTCGGGGATCTATTTTAATGGGGGCCAGTAGTTTGGGACTCGGGATCTATTTTAATGGGGGCCAGTAGTTTGGGACTCGGGGATCTATTTTAATGGGGGCCAGTAGTTTGGGACTCGGGATCTATTTTAATGGGGGCCAGTAGTTTGGGACTCGGGGATCTATTTTAATGGGGGCCAGTAGTTTGGGACTCGGGATCTATTTTAATGGGGGCCAGTAGTTTGGGACTCGGGGATCTATTTTAATGGGGGCCAGTAGTTTGGGACTCGGGGATCTATTTTAATGGGGGCCAGTAGTTTGGGACTCGGGGATCTATTTTAATGGGGGCCAGTAGTTTGGGACTCGCGGATCTATTTTAATGGGGGCCAGTAGTTTGGGACTCGGGGATCTATTTTAATGGGGGCCAGTAGTTTGGGACTCGGGGATCTATTTTAATGGGGGCCAGTAGTTGGGACTCGGGGATCTATTTTAATGGGGGCCAATAGTTTGGGACTCGCGGATCTATTTTAATGGGGGCCAGTAGTTTGGGACTCGGGGATCTATTTTAATGGGGGCCAGTAGTTTGGGACTCGGGGATCTATTTTAATGGGGGCCAGTAGTTTGTGACTCGGGGAACTATTTTAATGGGGGCCAGTAGTTTGGGACTCGGGGATCTATTTTAATGGGGGCCAGTAGTTTGGGACTTGGGATCTATTTTAATTGGGGCCAGTAGTTTGGGACTCGGGGATCTATTTTAATGGGGGCCAGTAGTTTGGGACTTGGGGATCTATTTTAATGGGGGCCAGTAGTTTGGGACTTGGGATCTATTTTAATGGGGGCCAGTAGTTTGGGACTCGGCGATCTATTTTAATGGGGGCCAATAGTTTGGGACTCGCGGATCTATTTTAATGGGGGCCAGTAGTTTGGGACTTGGGATCTATTTTAATGGGGGCCAATAGTTTGGGACTCGGGGATCTATTTTAATGGGGGCCAATAGTTGTGGGTGCATTGGTTTTGGAGATGAGAGTGAGTGAAAGAATTACCAGAGCTTGATGCTAGCAGTGAAGAGCTCATCAGAGAAAGCTAAGTAATGCACCAACATATTGTTTAGGAGAGGTTTTCTTCAGATGGGAAGAGGAAGAGAGAATTGGCATTCTAAGGAGATCAAGAATACATCTGAGGTCAGAAATTGTCACGTTTGTTAATTGGTGTGTGTTGTGTATGTAGCTCGTGGTGTGGGTGATGTGTGTAGCTAGTAAACTGGCGTTTGTGGTGTATGTACTAGTAAGTTGGTGTGTGTGGTGTATGTAGCTTGTAAACATATGTTGGTGGTGTATGTAGTTTGTAAATTAGTGTGGGTGGTGTATGTAGCTTGTAAACATGTGTTGGTGGTGTATGTAGCTTGTAAACTGATGTGGGTGGTGTATGTAGCTTGTAAACTGATGTGGATGGTGTATGTAGCTTGTAAACTGATGTGGGTAGTGTATGTAGCTTGTAAACTGATGTGGGTGGTGTATGTAGCTTGTAAACTGATGTGGGTAGTGTATGTAGCTTGTAAACTGATGTGGGTGGTGTATGTAGCTTGTAAACTGATGTGGATGGTGTATGTAGCTTGTAAACTGATGTGGGTAGTGTATGTAGCTTGTAAACTGATGTGGGTGGTGTATGTAGCTTGTAAACTGATGTGGGTGGTGTATGTAGCTTGTAAACTGGTGTGGGTGGTGTATGTAGTTTGTAAACATGTGTTGGTGGTGTATGTAGCTTGTAAACTGATGTGGGTGGTGTATGTAGCTTGTAAACTGGTGTGGGTGGTGTATGTAGCTTGTAAACTGGTGTGGATGGTGTATGTAGCTTGTAAACTGATGTGGGTGGTGTATGTAGCTTGTAAACTGGTGTGGGTGGTGTATGTAGCTTGTAAACTGATGTGGGTGGTGTATGTAGCTTGTAAACTGGTGTGGGTGGTGTATGTAGCTTGTAAACTGATGTGGGTGGTGTATGTAGCTTGTAAACTGATTTGGGTGGTGTATGTAGCTTGTAAACTGGTGTGGGTGGTGTATGTAGCTTGTAAACTGGTGTGGGTGGTGTATGTAGCTTGTAAACCGGTGTGGGTGGTGTATGTAGCTTGTAAACTGGTGTGGGTGGTGTATGTAGCTTGTAAACTGATGTGGGTGGTGTATGTAGCTTGTAAACTGGTGTGGGTGGTGTATGTAGCTTGTAAACTGATGTGGGTGGTGTATGTAGCTTGTAAACTGGTGTGGGTGGTGTATGTAGCTTGTAAACTGATGTGGGTGGTGTATGTAGCTTGTAAACTGATTTGGGTGGTGTATGTAGCTTGTAAACTGGTGTGGGTGGTGTATGTAGCTTGTAAACTGGTGTGGGTGGTGTATGTAGCTTGTAAACTGGTGTGGGTGGTGTATGTAGCTTGTAAACATATGTTGGTGGTGTATGTAGCTTGTAAACTGATGTGGGTGGTGTATGTAGCTTGTAAACTGATTTGGGTGGTGTATGTAGCTTGTAAACTGATGTGGGTGGTGTATGTAGCTTGTAAACTGGTGTGGGTGGTGTATGTAGCTTGTAAACTGGTGTAGGTGGTGTATGTACTAATTTTTGTGCGACATGTGCCCATTGTGAGTCGGCCTTCAATTGACCGTCAACATAGGGGCTGAAGATCGACCTCAGATAAAACAGAAACTGTCTGGTATAGAATTATGTCAGTCTAGACACCTTTAACGAACAAACCCCCCCCCCCACCCCAAGCGGTCATTGTTTTCCCCTGGGGTAACTAGGGGCTGCAGTCTATCACTCCACGAAGACTCAAAGGGTGATGTCGATGTTTTCTTTAACAATGTAGTGGAAGGTGGCTATTTCCGGTCAATTTTTAGCCAATGGCGAGGTCGTACAAGGTGACCTAGAACTGTAATTGCGGGCTATGTTAATATTTTTCTGTACACACTCAATATTTAAAATTGTGTGTAAATTTAAAGTAGCGCCAACAATGACTGGAATTTGGCTTCTATTTTGCCATGCTTATACACATACGACCCCGTGTCAGTTTTGAACGTATTTTGTTTTTCCACACCAGCCTGATGTCTGTTGCCTGCAGATCGCAGTTTCATAGGGTTTTTGGAGAGGTGTCGACGGCTTTTTTCAATGTATGTTCCATACATGGAGATGATCACTCGCTGTCAGTTTTTACTCATCACTAGAGGTCGTGGAGACTGGCCAAACATTTTCCCTGTGTTCTATTCGCTTGTGCCAAATGATTCACATGTTACACAGGGAAGTGCCCTTTGGGTCCCGGAGAAACGTTGCCTTATTTATATTGATTTTTATCGATGTATACACTCGTTATCTAATTCTGCACTAAACGATGGAAATAATGTGTCATTTTATTTCACAACCGGTTTTCTCAGTGGTTTTCCCCTTACACTGCTAATATTTGTTCTAATACAGAGTCCTTCGTGGGTCGATGAATCTCTCCCTGGTCTGACATGTTAAAAAATCCACTCTCTAAATTTGACACACTCATTAGCATGTACCCCCCCTCCCCTCTTTTCAACTGGATTATAATCCATTTTATAGATAACCATGTCAACATTCAACAGAAATGTGCACAGTTGAACACCATCCAACAGAAAACAGTGTTGCCCCCCCCCCCCCTCTTTTCCCCACTCACTGAGTTTAAAAAAATATTTCATCGTCCAGTGTTCAAAAGATATAGCCTACCATATTTAAAAGACGAATGAGTCAACTGAAATATAAGCGGATTCTCGTGTGTATTTCTGTTCTAAATGTAGACCAAGACCATCAATTAAGTTCAGCCGAACTGGACTGTACCCGTCTGAACCGAGTTGAAAGGTCACACGCTTGGGAAGCTAAAATAAAAAAACAACCCACGAACCGGACCTTCATGTTCTTGTCTGCTGTGCTACATCACAGGGTGGGCTGGACCAACGCCAGAAATAACCAGCTAAATAAAACGTGTACCAAACCAAACAAATTATTAAAAATGAAAGAGGATATTTGAACAAGAGCTGCTCGTCCGACCATTGGATTGCAGGTAACGTTGAATGATATTAGATAGCAATCCTTTAAGAAGCTTATCATTTTCAAAATACAACTAATCAATAAAATGAAGGAACTATAGCCCAGAACTATTTATATCGCTATATACTATAGTGGTATAGTTTTATAGACCTAATTGTTAAGTAAGTTGATTACATTCTTTGGTTTGTTATTTTACTGTTCGTTGCTTTTCCTCCCCATCGATCTAGATCTTGTTCTCTAAAGCTAAACTTAGTACACTTTTTTTTTCGGGGGGGGGGGGGGGGGGATAAGCTAAGCAGCGACAGCACATTATGTAATATGGAAGGATAAACATCATTACCCCAGTATACGCCTCTGTACACTGATTCTAAAGAAATTAGTTTTTGAGTTTTGTGAATAACATCGATTTACAAAATATTTGTAAAATATAAATTGGAGATTATTTTCACAGTTAATGTTAAACCAAAAGCAAACAATAAGTTTAACTTAAAGTAATAATAGGCCTAATATAAATCAATACACATTTTACAGTGTATGTCGAGGGCCTATGTGTATTCTTCAATATATAACACATGCAAAAACACTTGTCTTTATTTTTCTTTAATCCCAAATTTATTTCAGCTCTACTTAAAAGCCCTCATCTGCTTAGCCGACCACGCCGATGGAAAAAAAAAATCCCTTGAACCAGTGGCGGAACTAGAAAAAAAAGGCCTACCCCGCAAAATTTTTCTTTAGGCCCCCACCCATATATATATATATATATATATATATATATATATATATATATATATATATATATATATATATATATATATATATATATATATATATATATATATATATATATATATATATATATATATATATACGAACAAAATACGAACCGAGCATAGGATACTCATTGCTTGCCTGTTCGGGTTTTGAAAAAAAATGTTTTTTTTAGCGCAATTTCCATACTGACAATTGCGATTATTAATTCGTTATTTCTGGATGGATGGATGGATGGATGGATGGATGGATGGATGGATGGATGGATGGATGGATGGATGGATGGATGAATGGATGGATGGATGGATGGATGGATGGATGGATGGATGGATGGATGGATGGATGGATGTGTGTCCGCAGCTTTAAGTCGTATCTCCTCCTCAACGAAGCAATATCGAGGACTAGTTCCAAAAGCAAATATGTTAAGCAAGTTCCGAGGATGATTGTGGGCCAAAAAAATTCCCGGAATTCCTTCCTGGATTTCCCGGAAAAGCCAAAAAACCTTGAAAAAAATGCAGTTTTTTGGCTCATATCTCGGCAACCAGACCACTTAGCGACTTGAAACTTTTACCAATCGATTCCTGCCATAATTTAGAACAATATTTCCGAAGAAAGTTTTCAAAAATATCCTTTCGTTCGGTCACAAAAAATTAATTAAGGAAATTGCGCTTAAATTTTCACTAGACCTTTTATTAACTTGTTTTTTAATTAAAACAAATTGCTACATCATGTCATGACATTAGTGTGTTTTGAGAAAATCAGTTTCATTTTATCTGCTATGGGTTCTTTTAACATCTTACTGGCCAAAAAGAATATAAAACATGAAATCTTTGTAGAAGTAATGGTGTGTCTTGTTGTGATTATTTTTATGTTTTTTTTTTGTATTTATATTATTAATTTTAAATACATTTCCTATTTATACAAGGTAATTCTTTAGTAAGTACTTTATGAAAAAATATTTAGTAAGAGAAGTAATTTCTTTTTAATTTGTTTAGTACAAATCTATTAAAAGGAGCTTATGAGCATCCCTATTTGACTATTTAAAAAAGGGAAATAAGTCATGGAAGTGGTTTGAACGTTTGCTTATCTTTGTTGAGTTTAATTGTAGAAGAGAGAGAGGACTTGGCTTTTACAGTGGTTTAAAAGGAAAGGGGAAAAGAATATACAAGAGCGTGGGTATGGTGTCTATAGAAAAAAGATAATCAAACCGCAGCTATAGACATCAAGTCAAAAATTGCAAGAAAATTAGATTTTTTAAACTATAATAAAAACGATTAGGGTCGGCCGTGGGCCCCTAAATGGCGTGCCCCCCCCCCCGGATTGCGGGGTCTGGCGGCACTGTAGTTCCGCCCCTGCCTTGAATCATCATTTAATTACACATTTGCCTTTTTAAGTGTTTTTTTAAAAATAAAATTGTAATAAGTAATAAGACGTTTTGTATTAGATCTATGTATAAGTAAACCATCTTAAATGAGTGAAAGTAGGCGAAATGTCACTTTCTACATCTTGAAATCGTTGTCTTATAATGGGTTAAAAAATTGTGCAGTTTTTTTGTTTGTTAATTTATTGGTACAATCGTGTCGTAAAAAGCAGAAATTTAGCAGAAATAAGAATTCAGGAAATGAAAATAGTGTTACGTAATATTACTCTCTCCCAGCAATCTACCGTTTGTAACACAATATAACCAAGTGATTAAACTCCCCTCCCCCTAGATTATAAATTATATAATATGTGCCCGACCTCCTTCCGTGAACTTTTACCAGATACGGGGGTAGCTGACGCCGGCCTAGACCTACGAGTTTAACCTCATTCATGAAGGTGATATTCACCAGCTCAAGCTTAGAGTGGGCCCATGCCAAAGAGTTATTTATAGGAGGTTAAAACGCCATGACGTCACACCACAACAAATTCTAAAAGCGAACCTTTTTAACTCGAGTTCGTCAATTCGGGCGTGACCTACTTAAAAGTTTTATATAACAATTGTGAAACTGCTGAATCATTTCTTACACAAAGTTAAGGATTGTCGAGTGAACGACATGACAGGATGCAGACGTTCTTAGTCTTGTTTCTCTTCACAGCTAATGTAATGTTATGTTGACACATGTGTAGTTGTGATGCAATAATCAACACACACTAAATACAATTCAGATGGGGTTTCTCCTGCAGCTAAGACTTCTGTTATGGAAGAATTTTGTTCTTCGGAAAAGACAACCGGTAAGTCTTTTATCATATTTGTCACTGTTTGTAGAGATAGGGATAATTTAAACTGAGTCATTTTAAAATTAACTTTCAATTAGTTTGTTTCGTTTTGTACTCTCTGTTATGAATGATCGTGCACATAGTAAGAAACAATGTAAATATCGAACCACCTCGCCACTCCATTTAAAGCATTAGTCAATAGCATTTCAATAAATAACCATTATTCAAAACAAACATTAACAAAAAATAAATAAAAAAAAAATAAAACGTGAATCAATTATTATTCATAGGGAGTAAAAAAAGAGTTGCCATTTTGTATAATAGAAATGTAGAAAAAATAAACACAATGAAATGTTAAGGTTGTGTCGCGTAGTTAACATTTCTCTGTTATAGATCTAGTCATTTAGATGCCACCAACCCATCCAATATGACATTGTATAATACAACAATAATCTACTCTATATCCCTTTTGTGGTATGTGTCCAAACAATAATCTACTCTATATCCCTTTTGTGGTATGTGTCTAAAGTCTTGTTATGCTATATAGATCTAATCTGTTCAGTGATCGTGCAATCATTATACTAAACCGTAGCCTGATCTCCGAACATAATGATCTTAAACTAACTAAACACTACAAAAATAATCTTTAAACCTTCTTTGCATTCCCTTAACACAGATGCTAACTGTAAATATAAACAATTTTAGCAGTTAAACTTAATATACAATACATACAAAGCGTATAATGTTAACTGGCTTAGCCAGGATCGTCTCATGCCGGGGGGGGGGGGGGGGGGGGGGGGAGGGGAGAGGGTGTTTAAATTTTTTCCAGCATCGAGGACTACAAAGGAATATAAGTAAATTGGAAAAAAAATCGATACTTCCATGGATTTAAGTGTTAGATTATTATAGTACTTATGGTCTAAATTTATGAGTTAAAAAATTACTATTGAAAGTCTTTAAAAACAATTTTCATTTTATATACTTAGAATAATAATTTTCAATTATGAACATTACATAAAATTTAAAAAAAAAGTGTATCAACGTTTATAAAGTTTCTAAAATTGTGTCTGAAATGTATTTGCATTTTGTCCTTTAGTTCTCATAACGTCCCTTGATTTGGAAAACACAGTTACTTCCCTTTTAAAAAAACCCATTAAATCGGGGGGGGGGGGGGAAGAATTTACTTTTGATTACTTTATTTTGGTGTTAGGAAAAAAATTATTATATAATTAGCGTGGATTGATTAAGTGCAATGTCGTTGGTATTTTTAATGCTGCCTTTTATTTATTCCATACACTGAACGTACTGTTTACTAATTATTTTAAAAAAATCAATAACAGTTAATAAGCCAGGTCCTACAAATCCTATATATTTAATTCTTTCAATTTACGGATAAGCTTGGAGTATTATAATTTTGTTCACTTAATTGAAACAGGCGCGTCCGCCAGCGCCCCCCACGGTTCGATTTGGCGCTCTGGGCTATCCTGTGAGCGCTATGGTGCATAATTTCGTTTTAAACAGTGCGATTGACTATGAATAAGAAAGGTTACTATAGTCTTTAATTGAATCAAATCCGGGCGTCATCCGGTACCCCGACAGGGTGCTATTTGGCGCCCCGGGCTTTCCCGTGTTCGCTGTGGTACCTGCGTTCGCGTGAGTTCAAAAGACTATGAATAAGTTGGGTACTATAGTCGTTTGCTAAGTTGAATCAGGCGGTTACGTCGTCGTGGTGCGATTTGGCGCCCCGGGCTAGACTGTGGACACTTTGAGTTTATATTTGCGTTTGTGTTTTCTTTGTGTTTGAGTTTGGGTTTGCGTATATATATATATATATATATATATATATATATATATATATATATATATATATATATATATATATATATATATATATATATATATATATATATATATATATATATATATTTACTAGCTGTATGCCATTACTTCGCTATGATGTAAAATAAATTGAAAGTAGTACTCTGAAGAAATAAGAAAAAAAATGTAGGCCCACAAAACAAAACAATTTATCACTCTAAACAAAAAATAAATATACACACAATGCAACCAAAAACACTTAACGCAACATGATCTGTTTTGTAATCCTGGTAAAAAAACCAATTTGACATAATGATTCCTAGATTATTAATTAAGACAGGCGAACTAGGGGAAATAATTACTCTCTTAATATAAATATGTATATTTCTACAAATTTAATTGTAAATGTCAAAACCGATCAATAATTACTTTAGTATGTAATATAGTGGGGGGGGGGGGGAATAACAAACTCATAGTAAACTAGTGAACGTAGCGTCAGTTTTTAGATAAATGTTCTAAACATACACATACAATTATACCTATATATATATACTGATTCGGAAATAGATTTAAATATGTAACTGTAAATTATTTTTTACATATCAATCATTTAGGCCAGGGGTCTCCAAACTTTTTAGTCCGAGGGCCGCATTAACTATCAAATTTCAGTTCGGGGGCCAGTTTCTTCCAGGCATGTCTTTGGTTTTTCTGGGCAAAGTTCCTCAGCCATCACCAACAAACGTTTTTTTCCGTGGACAAAAAGATCTCCGCGGGCCGGATGAGAGGACGTCGCGGGCCGCATTCGGCCCGCGGGCCGTAGTTTGGAGACCCCTGATTTAGGCTGGAGCTTTAGTGGTCAGTTACAAGGGTTGCTTCTTTAAAATATTTTTCTCGGGGTACGTACCGATAAAAGAATATATATTTTCTATGCGAAATATATTTTTTATACATACGCCAACGTAAATCTATAGGCGTTCCATCAGAATAGTGTGCAAACACATCCTTTAATACTGAAAGATAACCAATTGTACATTTATAAAATGTGTTCGCAGGTACGTCGGTCTCCTTTTAAATTTTTAGTAAATGTATTTATAAATAATAATATAGTGACCCACTTTTTCTCAATTGTTATTTACATAGTGGTTCATTATTATATTTTTTAAAGAATATTATTTTCTTTTTAGTGCATATTTTTTTAACAAAAGCTTGTTACTGAAACTAGAGTCGTAGCAATCCATTCCGGTGCCCGTGGTAAACTATCCATTTGGTACTTCCCTTCTCCCGCCCACTTATATCTATGGTTATTCAAGTTTGGTAAAAAAAGAGCCCCCCCCCCCCCCATAGGTTGGTGGCGCTTTTTACCAGTTAATTTCCCTTAAAGGTTTTTATTTTGACGTAGAAAACAGTTAAACCAGTTTTTAAAGCTTTTTAGCCGTTTACTTTCTTAACTTTCACTTTGTTTATTTCTACCCCATTATAAAATTAGCCTTTACATTTGTTTACCCCTTTTGGCACCCCTTAAGGCTCAGCGCCCGGGGCGGCCGCCCCACCCACCCTCCCCTAAGAACGCCACTAATTAAAACGTTTAGTGAACCATATCATTTAAGAGGAAAGTCGAAAACAGAAAGTAACGATTACAACTTATCCTAAACTTATTTATAGCAATAAACCACACATTAACTGTAAGGTAAGGTTGGGTTAGTTAGGTTTAAGAAACTTTCTATAGGGAATAAGCTTGTTCTACACTTAGTCTTTAATCATATTTAGAAAACTACAGAAAGCCTAAGCATAATACGAATTACCTTTTTATTTTCCGAATTCATTCGAGCCACTTCGGATCTGGAGTTATAAAGGATGCTGTGTATCTCACTTTGCATTGAACATATATAATACTACTATTTGTAGGTATTATAACGAAGAGGGGCTAATAACCATGATAAAAATTTACAGGCCGAATTCCCGAATGGACACTTGCCCGAATGCGACAAATGCCCGAATGGACACTAGCCCGAATGCGACAAATGCCATTCGGGCATTTGTCGCATTCGGACAAGTCTCCATTCGGGAAATCGGCCTTCGGGCAAACAGCATTCGGGCAAGTGTCTTTCGGGAAAACGTCGGGCTCCCTTTCTAGATCCCTGTTCACCAAGCCTACCTCTCATGAAAATTCTAAATCACTCACTCACTCGTCGTCCTCCCCCCCCCCCCCCGGAAAAATGCCTGAAATAAACTGTAAATACAATGTTTCGTACTTTGCAAGATCATTAATTTGTCCACTTAGCAGTTTTTACACATGTATATGCCGGCCACTAATCTATTTGTTCAAGTTTCTGAATTGTATGATTGTGTTGTGTATTTAGCCTACTGTTCACTTGTATATTTGAAGTCTTCCAATGATAAAATGGGTAAAAATAATTAGTTATGAAAAACATTAAATCAGTGTAGTGTATCGGGGAGAGAGAAGAGAAATATTATCTGACGTCATTGGGGTTTGTAAGAATTTTAACGCTAGCATTTGAAAATCCATTTCGTGTGTTAATGAATTGACTTGGATGTTTCAAAATTTTCTGTTAAGGATTTGTATGCACTTCTTAGTGCCCCATGACTCCAGATCCATATTTTACTGAATGTATTCACTTCCATTTGTCCAGTTCCGTGTTGTTGTCGAGATTGTCTGGCCCCTAACGTTGTTCCTCATCCTGGTGGCTGTCAGGTTCAGACCGGATGTTCGAGTCAACATTGGAGAATGTAAGTATCACATTGACCAACTCTGTTTATAATGTTTGTAAGTATCACATTGACCAACTCTGTTTATAATGTTTGTAAGTATCACATTGACCAACTCTGTTTATAATGTTTGTAAGTATCACATAGATCAACTCTGTTTATAATGTTTGTAAGTATCACATTGACCAACTCTGTTTATAATGTTTGTAAGTATCACATTGACCAACTCTGTTTATAATGTCTGTATCACATTGACCAACTCTGTTTATAATGTTTGTAAGTATCACATTGACCAACTCTGTTTATAATGTCTGTATCACATTGACCAACTCTGTTTATAATGTTTGTAAGTATCACATTGACCAACTCTGTTTATAATGTTTGTAAGTATCACATTGACCAACTCTGTTTATAATGTCTGTATCACATTGACCAACTCTGTTTATAATGTTTGTAAGTATCACATTGACCAACTCTGTTTATAATGTCTGTATCACATTGACCAACTCTGTTTATAATGTTTGTATCATGTTGACCAACTCTGTTTATAATGTTTGTAAGTATCACATTGACTAACTCTGTTTATAATGTTTGTATCACGTTGACCAACTCTGTTTATAATGTTTGTAAGTATCACATTGACTAACTCTGTTTATAATGTTTGTATCACATTGACCAACTCTGTTTATAATGTTTGTAAGTATCACATTGACCAATTCTGTTTATAATGTTTGTAAGTATCACATTGATCAACTCTGTTTATAATGTTTGTATCACGTTGACCAACTCTGTTTATAATAATGTTTGTAAGTATCACATTGACCAACTCTGTTTATAATGTTTGTAAGTATCACATTGACCAACTCTGTTTATAATGTTTGTAAGTATCACATTGACCAACTCTGTTTATAATGTTTGTAAGTATCACATTGACCAACTCTGTTTATAATGTTTGTAAGTATCACATTTATCAACTCTGTTTATAACGTTTAACCATTGTAGCCTCCTTCGAAATCTCCCCCCCCCCTTTAAACTTTTAGGGTGTCATAAATAATCAAAGCGTTGGCTGCACAAGATAGTTTAGATTGTTATAATAAATCATTGGGGATAGTGAAAACAAGCTGACTGGTGAATCAGTGAAATAAGTTAACCGGTTAAACTATGACAGTGAATAAGTTAACCAGTTAAACTATGACAGTGAATAAGTTACCTTAATGTTAATTATGAACAACTAAATAAAAAAAAATCAATGTTTCTTTTATCCCGCGATAGTTTTGGGTATATTGAGAGCTGTGAAGTGGTGCAAACATTTTGGGGCGAGTTGCTTTCTGGCTCGCGTCCAAGTTATTGATTTGTATTGAATTTCGGTTGCACCAGTTACAAAATCTATTGATTCTTAAATTGAAACTGTCTTCCTGGAACAGTCCACTACAGAAAAGTCCTGCCAATACGTCTCGGACAAAAAGGTCTCGTCAATAGCTCTGGGTCCAATAGCGTATGCGCATGTGCCTACGTTTTAATTGCCTAGGGGTTTGAAAATGGTTGAAAAAACAGTTTAAAATGACACACAAGCCAGGTGAGAGACAGACGTAATGTCCAGGTGTTGTGAACACACATACACGCTTTTTACGGGTGATCCAGTGCGTAGCGAAACATATAAGACGAACACCCACAAGCGGGTAACAAACAAATCTAAATGAAACAAAGGCTCGTAAAAAGTTTAACACTACATTCTATATAGGCCTACACTATCTACACAACACAGGCGATTCTAAATATAAATACACTAGCGTGCCCGTCGACGCGCGTTGCCGTGGTCTCAGAGAAAATCTGACGAAATATTTTAAGAGGGTTTCATCAATCTGTTAACATTCCTATGTTCTTAGGCACGTGACATTGTTTTCTAAGACTGAGTTATTTAAATGTAAATAATGACGCGGCACGGGCTTGTATAATCAACATTCACCCCAGACACAAGCAATGGACAGGTCACTCACACACACAATGGCCAGGTCACACACACACACAATGGCCAGGTCACAGACACACAATGGCCAGGTCACTCACACACAATGGCCAGGTCACTCACACACAATGGCCAGGTCACTCACACACAATGGCCAGGTCACTCACACACACAATGGCCAGGTCACACACACACACAATGGCCAGGTCACAGACACACAATGGCCAGGTCACACACACACACACAATGGCCAGGTCACACACACACAATGGCCAGGTCACTCACACACACAATGGCCAGGTCACTCACACACAATGGCCAGGTCACTCACACACACACAATGGCCAGGTCACAGACACACAATGGCCAGGTCACTCACACACACAATGGCCAGGTCACTCACACACACAATGGCCAGGTCACTCACACACAATGGCCAGGTCCCTCACACACACAATGGCCAGGTCCCTCACACACACAATGGCCAGGCTATAAGACCTAACATGGGTATGCTGTAGCCTGTATTTCTACCACCAGGTCCCTCACACACACAATGGCCAGGCTATAAGATCTAACATGGGTATGCTGTAGCCTGTATTTCTACCACCAGGTCCCTCACACACACAATGGCCAGGCTCTAAGACCTAACATGGTTATGCTGTAGCCTGTATTTCTACCACCAGGTCCCTCACACACAATGGCCAGGCTATAAGACCTAACATGGTTATGCTGTAGCCTGTATTTCTACCACCAGGTCCCTCACACACACAATGGCCAGGCTATAAGACCTAACATGGTTATGCTGTAGCCTGTATTTCTACCACCAGGTCCCTCACACACACAATGGCCAGGCTATAAGACCTAACATGGGTATGCTGTAGCCTGTATTTCTACCACCAGGTCCCTCACACACACAATGGCCAGGCTATAAGATCTAACATGGGTATGCTGTAGCCTGTATTTCTACCACCAGGTCCCACACACACACACAATGGCCAGGCTATAAGATCTAACATGGGTATGCTGTAGCCTGTATTTCTACCACCAGGTCCCTCACACACAATGGCCAGGCTATAAGATCTAACATGTTATGCTGTAGCCTGTATTTCTACCACCAGGTCACTACACGGCTCGTGCTATGCCATCAGCGGGAACTCTGGCATTTCTCTCCTCCTATGTCTGTAATTTCAACAATGATTGCAACAACAACTCAGCTTCTGCTGACAGGTTCCAGTTCAACAGAATAAACGGCTCGCTGTAAGTAGATCATTCTGGCCAGTGTTTCCTCCACACCTTTTTTCTTCCGGGTGGGGCACTAAATTTTCCGGGGGAGGGGTGGACAGTATTAATAATTTTTGCTGTTTTAAAAATTCCATTTTGTTTGGGTGGCGGTAGACTGGAAGAAACTCTGGCTCATCTAATGATAATTGGATAGCAAAAATAGCAACTGTCCACACTGTTATTTTTACAAAATTCTCTCCCCTTGTTAAAGGCTAGTCAGAGTTATCGATGACCTAGAAATCCTGTTGTCCAACAAAAACAGCCAAAATTTGTTAGCAAACCTTGGAGCAGATGTGCAACTTTTATATGATTTGAGGACAGCTATTATAAACGGAACTACAGACTTAGGTAAACTCTATGTTTGTATTTGTAATAATAACCATTTCACATATATCACAACGCCCATTTTAAAAAAAAAATGAGATACAAAGGTTGACCTATGTTGGCCTGTATATTAAAATATTTAGAATAGCTTTAAAAATTAAGTGTCAGCCTTTAATATTTAGGCAGGGTGTGTGTGGTAATTTTGCAGCTTTGAAATGATAAGGGGGGGGGGGAATGGAGTGAATCACTAAATTTTTCAACACACTTTTGCACATTTAAAAAAATAATGTTAGAGTCTGAATATTAGCTGATAGTTGTTTTTCTAAATTGTAATAGTGAATAATAAAACCTACTCAATGTTCACTGATCTAAGAAAATATTTCAGAAAAATAGTGATGTTTTGAAAATAAAAGCTGCAGTTTGAAGCTGCTGTGTGAGGTCATTTTAGGGGTGGGGTCTAGCTTTTTATGATGTTTGTGACAATGGGGAGAGGGTGGTAAAAGTTGTCCAAAAAGTGTGACATCATTTATGGATGCCCCCTTACATTATTGTATAACTACAGGTATACTTTAAAATAATTACAACATTTGTTTACAACTTTGCTGTAGGGCATTTGTCACCTAGAAATTTAAAATTAATAATGTTTTGTTTGCAGGGAACATTTCATTGAAGTTGATGAATGTAGTGGTAGATAGGGAAGGTCTGTTGAATAATATTTCCAAATTAAACATCGGTCTTACTAGCAGCGCTGTTGAAACACTTCTAAGTGTTTCAATTGATCCAAAAAAGGTATATTTGAATTAGCAATTATATCACATATCTTCATTCAAATTTTGATATTACTGGGATTTGTAGACTATGAGTATGTCCATGCTCTAATTTTACTATTTGGATGAAGGTTTTGATATGTTTAGACCAGAGTGTCAAACCTTGCCATGTAAACTAAGTAAAGAGATGTGTTATTATTTCAAGATATTTCAAGATATCTTTCTTTCTAGGTAACATCAGCATTAACTGACTCAAACCGAACAAACCTAGACAACCTAATTACTGTGGTTAATGATTTAATCCAACTTGGTAACAACATATCTGCAGACAATGATTATGCCAGTTCCATTTTCAACATCACATGCAGTGATAAGGTAAACAGATACAATGGATTTCACTTACAATCTCATTTGACTTCACATACATCATTTAATTTCACATACATCATTTCATTGGATTTCACATACATCATTTCATTTGATTTCACATACATTATTTCATTTGATTTCACATACATCATTTCATTTGATTTCACATATATCATTTCATTTGATTTCACATACATCATTTCATCTTGTTTAAAAAAACTAAACTATCTTAGCTTATATATACCTTGTGGCCACCTGGTGGTGATTTTAAAGGCCTCTTCAGTCCCATATGCTGTTTTTGGTTTCATATTGTGTTTTCAGTCCCATATGCTGTTTTTGGTTTCATATTGTGTTTTTAGTCCCATATGCTGTTTTTTGTTTCATAATGTGTTTTCAGTCCCATATGCTGTTTTTGGTTTCATATTGTGTTTTCAGTCCCATATGCTGTTTTTTGTTTCATAATGTGTTTTCAGTCCCATATGCTGTTTTTTGTTTCATAATGTGTTTTCAGTCCCATATGCTGTTTTTGTCTCATAATGTGTTTTCAGTCCCATATGCTGTTTTTGGTTTCATATTGTATTTTCAGTCCCATATGGTGTTATGTAAAAACTTAAAATATTACTAAAGAAACTGAAACTGAGCTTTAAACTGCAGCTGATCACAAATGTTATACCCCATTATTGCAATAGTCTCCAAACTTTATTTAATAAAATATACATTTTTAACTTTGAATGCCATATACCTTGCGGTAATCTGGTTAGAATGTTTTATAACATTATTTGCAATACTTATCTGAAAACCTGCTTGGGATTTTCAAATATACATAGGGTCTATATATTAAAATAACTTAAATGTAAACTTGAACATTCATTAACACTAGAAGAATTAAATACTAAATAATATGTTTTAATTATCCAATTAAGAGTATGAAAATTTTTAGTTAGCAGATGTTAGAACTATCAGTCTAAAGCAAAAAAAAAAAAATGAGCATTAATGGCTTAATTTTTTTGTTAACAGAATCTATGGCAGTATCTGGAGTTTAAAAACAAAACTGATGCAGATTCACTTTATGAACAGCTTTGTAGCCTTAGTCCAGAAAATGTTACCGCCCTAGCAGAGATTTTAAACGGGGCTATTAATAGAACTGAAGTGATGAGTGAGGTAAAAATTATATTTAATATAAAAATACAGTGAAGAAATTAGGAAATTTTAAAAAAATCAATTTACAGCTGAGATATTAAAACTAAAAACTAAAATTATGATATAAAAACACTGGTAAGTAAAACATTTGAAGGTTGCGCAGGCTAGAAATTGAATGTTTTTTTATTTCATAGCTGCAAGATATAATGAGAAATGTGACTGGTAGGATACCTAGTTTAAATCTGGATACAATTGTTGGATTCATAACAGATGTAAGTACTATATTAGATAGATATTTTTGTATATCCAAATTTTAAAAAGGAATTTTTTTTAATAGGCTAATTTTTAATAATGTCTTTTTTTTATGCTTTCTTTATGATTTTCTATTTAAAAGAAAAGAACCCTGTATGCTGTTTGCAATAGAAATATTATTGACTTATTCTAGAGGAGGCCAGATAGGCAGTGCAAATTTACACATTTCATTGACATACGTGTTGACTTATTTAGATCCAAATGCAGAAAAGTATGACCATTTATCCTGCCTGAATCATTTTGTTTATATATCCCCAGCTCAATGAGTTGTCTAGTTTTGGATACCTGCTATCAGATCTTTCTGCTGCTACTGATCAAACAGTAATGGCATCCTCAAACTTTAGCTTAACCAATGGAAGCATACAAGATATTTTAGGTCGTTTCATTTGTGGTGGTGGGAAAAAAATCCTGAGCCAAGATGATCCAAAAAAGTTAAATGATACATCTCAAAAGAAAGAATCAGACACACAAAAGACAAAAAGAGAAATTGGGTTGAAAGTAGTTCAAAAAAATTATGAAAGTGCTGGAATATGTAAGTTGGAATTTTAAAAATATGAATGGTCTATATAAGGGAGTTCCCCTCAAATTACCAAATGAAATATAGTAGCACTAGTGGAAACTAACAAAATTTTCTCTTCAAATCTTGCAGCTCCTGAATGTGCAGGATTTTTAGCAAGCATTGAAACTGACGCAAATTTCAAAGTTATTTGGAACCAGATAAAACCTATAGCACTTGGTGTGATCACCTACACCCCTGATACAATTGCAACTAGAAAAATAATCAAAGAGGTAGGAGCTCTTACACTTTAAATATTACCATTAGTTGTTCATAGGAACAAAAGATTCAAAGTTCAGACATATTGTCATCCCAGAAAAGATGAACTGAATCCACTCAAGATACTTTAGGTAATAAATCACTTAAACTTAAAAAAAAAACAACTAAAAAAACCATGCGTAATTTGAAATTTTCTGTAGAGCCCTTCCCTGAAGAGATGCCTGGAAGAAACTCGTGGAGTTACAAACCATGCTAGAATAATTTATGTACAAGGTTAAAGTGTTAGAAGGTTAATAACATAATACAGAAGCAAGTGATATGATAGTCTCATATGGTTTATCTAATAGAAAACATGTATTGAAATTGTCATTTGTAGGGATTTCTTGAATGTCTGTCTCATAAATTATGTGGAAAGGACCAAGTATTTTTTTTTAGTCTATGTTTCATCCATGTGTTGAACAATGACACCATAGAGTGTAGTGGTGAGGTATCTCAATGACATGGTCTGTGATAGAGTGTAGTGGTGAGGTATCTCAATGACATGGTCTGTGATAGAGTGTAGTGGTGAGGTATCTCAATGACATGGTCTGTGATAGAGTGTAGTGGTGAGGTATCTCAATGACATGGTCTGTGATAGAGTGTAGTGGTGAGGTATCTCAATGACATGGTCTGTGATAGAGTGTAGTGGTGAGGTATCTCAATGACATGGTCTGTGGTAGAGTGTAGTGGCGAGGTATCTCAATGACATGGTCTGTGATAGAGTGTAGTGGTGAGGTATCTCAATGACATGGTCTGTGATAGAGTGTAGTGGTGAGGTATCTCAATGACATGGTCTGTGATAGAGTGTAGTGGCGAGGTATCTCAATGACATGGTCTGTGATAGAGTGTAGTGGCGAGGTATCTCAATGACATGGTCTGTGATAGAGTGTAGTGGTGAGGTATCTCAATGACATGGTCTGTGATAGAGTGTATTGGTGAGGTATCTCAATGACATGGTCTGTGATAGAGTGTAGTGGTGAGGTATCTCAATGACATGGTCTGTGATAGAGTGTAGTGGTGAGGTATCTCAATGACATGGTCTGTGATAGAGTGTAGTGGTGAGGTATCTCAATGACATGGTCTGTGATAGAGTGTAGTGGCGAGGTATCTCAATGACATGGTCTGTGATAGAGTGTAGTGGCGAGGTATCTCAATGACATGGTCTGTGATAGAGTGTAGTGGTGAGGTATCTCAATGACATGGTCTGTGATAGAGTGTAGTGGCAAGGTATCTCAATGACATGGTCTGTGATAGAGTGTAGTGGTAAGGTATCTCAATGACATGGTCTGTGATAGAGTGTAGTGGCGAGGTATCTCAATGACATGGTCTGTGATAGAGTGTATTGGTGAGGTATCTCAATGACATGGTCTGTGATAGAGTGTAGTGGTGAGGTATCTCAATGACATGGTTTGTGATAGAGTGTAGTGGCGAGGTATCTCAATGACATGGTCTGTGATAGAGTGTAGTGGTGAGGTATCTCAATGACATGGTCTGTGATAGAGTGTAGTGGTGAGGTATCTCAATGACATGGTCTGTGATAGAGTGTAGTGGTGAGGTATCTCAATGACATGGTCTGTGATAGAGTGTAGTGGCGAGGTATCTCAATGATATGGTCTGTGATAGAGTGTATTGGTGAGGTATCTCAATGACATGGTCTGTGATAGAGTGTAGTGGTGAGGTATCTCAATGACATGGTCTGTGATAGAGTGTAGTGGCAAGGTATCTCAATGACATGGTCTGTGATAGAGTGTATTGGTGAGGTATCTCAATGACATGGTCTGTGATAGAGTGTAGTGGTGAGGTATCTCAATGACATGGTCTGTGATAGAGTGTAGTGGCGAGGTATCTCAATGACATGGTCTGTGATAGAGTGTAGTGGTGAGGTATCTCAATGACATGGTCTGTGATAGAGTGTATTGGTGAGGTATCTCAATGACATGGTCTGTGGTAGAGTGTAGTGGTGAGGTATCTCAATGACATGGTCTGTGATAGAGTGTAGTGGTGAGGTATCTCAATGACATGGTCTGTGATAGAGTGTAGTGGCGAGGTATCTCAATGACATGGTCTGTGATAGAGTGTAGTGGTGAGGTATCTCAATGACATGGTCTGTGATAGAGTGTAGTGGCGAGGTATCTCAATGACATGGTCTGTGATAGAGTGTAGTGGTGAGGTATCTCAATGACATGGTCTGTGATAGAGTGTAGTGGTGAGGTATCTCAATGACATGGTCTGTGATAGAGTGTAGTGGCGAGGTATCTCAATGACATGGTCTGTGATAGAGTGTAGTGGTGAGGTATCTCAATGACATGGTCTGTGATAGAGTGTAGTGGTGAGGTATCTCAATGACATGGTCTGTGATAGAGTGTAGTGGCGAGGTATCTCAATGACACCATAGAGTGTAGTGGTGAGGTATCTCAATGACATGGTCTGTGATAGAGTGTAGTGGCAAGGTATCTCAATGACATGGTCTGTGATAGAGTGTAGTGGTGAGGTATCTCAATGACATGGTCTGTGGTAGAGTGTAGTGGTGAGGTATCTCAATGACATGGTCTGTGATAGAGTGTAGTGGTGAGGTATCTCAATGACATGGTCTGTGATAGAGTGTAGTGGTGAGGTATCTCAATGACATGGTCTGTGGGTTCAAACATGACCACTCAGACCAAACACATATACTCTGCTGATAATTATTGTTTAGTAAATTTTTCAAATGACATTGTGCTTTTGCTAATGACGATCCAAAACTATTGTGCTTTAAAAACATTTGCTTGAGATGTCTAATCAAAACTGTTTAGTTGTTTTCAGTTTTAATGTTTGTTTATGCTTGACATAATTATCAAGTATTTATTTTAAAATGCCAATAAATCATTATTTAGGCCTCTAGAACATTTGATAACATAGAGAGTATGCTGAACTTAACATCTGATTTAGAAGCCATACTCCCTCAAATAGGAAAATTTCTCAAGGAGGATATAGAGCCAATAAGGGTAATTCATTTTATTTACCGAATAGTATATTCATGAAATGTTAAGATAATTTTAATCACAATGGTATTGGGCTTTTTAAAAGAGCTGTTGTACTAATATAAATATTTGATTCATTTAGCTTTTCTTAAAGTACCACTAATTTGCCAAATTATAAGATAGTTACTTTGAATATATAATTTAAAAAAAACAAACAACTTATTTAAACAAGCTAAAATGACCATTAGGTCGAATATCACATAATTATTTATGATAACATTTAATATTAATTTTTAGCTGTACATCTAAATTCAAGAGTGTAATAAATGAATAAAAGTTTTTGACTATAATAGTGGAGACAGATAGCACTTAATTTTACCCTCTGTTCCCCAGATGTTTGTTGGCAGTCAAACTTGTAAAAATGTCGTCCACACACTGAAACAACTGGTGAAATACAACAACATTCCTAGTGTTTTGCCACCTTATTTTCCACCATCACTTTTTGAAACTTTCAATGAATCCATTTGTGATACAGCAGCAAACTTCCTGGCCACAAATGGCTTAAATTACACATATGACTGGACAGATGCATTTAACAATACATATGAGCTGTTGAGACAAATAAACCCATATTTAAAGGTAAAAAATTATTTGTATGTTGTTCATGAATATTTTAAGCAAGCTTATTTGGTTTTAATTTACTTGTGAGAAAACTATTCATGAGATTGATAAGGCACAATTAAACTGTTTCAGTGTTTTCGTTTGGATAAATTTGTTGGTTATCCAGATACAAGATCATTAGAAGAGGCAAGTTTGTTGCACATAGCCAATAAAACATTTTGGGCAGGTAAGAAATTTATTCCAACAGAAAATCAAGTTATATTTTGATACATAAGCTAGGATAATTTCTTTAATATAGTTAAGATTTTTTTATATCTGTTTGTTGAAAACATAAGCCTGTGTAGTTTAAAAAGTGTTATTGTTATTGTTTAAAACTCAAGCGGATATAAAATAGATAGTGCCGTTGTTTTTTTACATTTACAACATAAACCTGTATAATAAAGAAACTGCTATTATTATTGTATAAATTATAAAAAAAACTATGTAAAATAGATAATGCTGCTATTGTTTAAAACATAATGTTATTTCTAAAACTGTCCCTGGTTATAACTAGTCTAGATCAACAGATCAGCAATACTGAGCAATACATTTAAATGTATCTTGAATAAGGATCATGATTCTACAATGCTGAGGATGGAATTTTAATAGAAACTAAAAAACCTCAAGATTTCAAAAATGATTTTGATAGGTAACAAAGTGAAGTAGTTTGGAAACTTCAAAAAAGTTAATCTTAAAATTAAACCACTTGTATCACAAGTAAGAATGCCAAGATACATTATAGCATACTGTCTTAATCTTTCATTACAGTCTGGAGCTGCAAACTAAAAATGAGATATAAATATATACTCTGATCCATATTTCTCTTTTTGGCTGACTGAACTAAATGTTGACCAAGAAATTCACCCTTAAACAGTCAAATAAGGAATGTTCTTAATATGCTCAACTCAGTTGCTGTAATTTCTTTAGCATAAACGTAACAACAACAACTACAGTCTAATACGGACACCTGAAATATCTGGATCTTTAACTGTAAAGTCAAAGTCTTACAACTTACAGCAGAGATCTGGAGTTCAGACCATCAAAAATAACTGTAGCAGAAAAATTCTCCACATTTATGTTGACACCATAAATAATTATGGTAGGAAAAGACCTGCCAACTCTTGACAAGAAAGGAGATAATGGGGTTGGATAGGACACAAACTGCCTAGATCACCATCCACCATCAGGCAGAAAACAGGTCATCCCCAAACACACATGCTAAAGGTAGGCAGAAAACAGGTCCTCCCCAAACACACATGCTAAAGGTAGGCAGAAAACAGGTCCTCCCCAAACACACATGCTAAAGGTAGGCAGAAAACAGGTCCTCCCCAAACACACATGCTAAAGGTAGGCAGAAAACAGTTCCTCCCCAAACACACATGCTAAAGGTAGGCAGAAAACAGGTCATCCCCAAACACACATGCTAAAGGTAGGCAGAAAACAGGTCCTCCCCAAACACACATGCTAAAGGTAGGCAGAAAACAGGTCCTCCCCAAACACACATGCTAAAGGTAGGCAGAAAACAGTTCCTCCCCAAACACACATGCTAAAGGTAGGCAGAAAACAGGTCCTCCCCAAACACACATGCTAAAGGCAGACAGAAAACAGGTCCTCCCCAAACACACATGGGATCACAGCTTGACCCAGCTGAATAGCTAGGACAGTGAACTTTGGCAAGCACATTACAAGTGACAGAAGATGATATGTATTCAAATACATTGATCACACACAAGAAATAGAGAGGCCCATTTAAGATCTGCAGACTTACTACAATTAAAATGATGAACTGGATAGGATTCACGTTTAAAAAACTGTTGATTAACATTAAGGAATGGTATCAACATGGCCAAAATAAAATTTAGTGTAGTATCGATGTGAGTTTATTAGAGAGGTCTGAGTGTATGGTCTGTATGTGAGTTTATTAGAGAGGTCTGAGTGTATGGTCTCTATGTGAGTTTATTAGGGAGGTCTCAGTGTATGGTCTCTATGTGAGTTTATTAGAGAGGTCTGAGTGTATGGTCTGTATGTGAGTTTATTAGAGAGGTCTGAGTGTATGGTCTGTATGTGAGTTTATTAGGGAGGTCTGAGTGTATGGTCTCTATGTGAGTTTATTAGAGAGGTCTCAGTGTATGGTCTGTATGTGAGTTTATTAGGGAGGTCTGAGTGTATGGTCTCTATGTGAGTTTATTAGAGAGGTCTCAGTGTATGGTCTGTATGTGAGTTTATTAGGGAGGTCTCAGTGTATGGTCTGTATGTGAGTTTATTAGGGAGGTCTCAGTGTATGGTCTGTATGTGAGATTATTAGGGAGGTCTCAGTGTATGGTCTCTATGTGAGTTTATTAGGGAGGTCTCAGTGTATGGTCTGTATGTGAGTTTATTAGAGAGGTCTCAGTGTATGGTCTCTATGTGAGTTTATTAGGGAGGTCTCAGTGTATGGTCTCTATGAAGGTTTTTTTTTTTATCTGTTGCCTGGTTCATTCAACAATATAGATCTAGTTATTAGTTATTGTTTTTAAGTAGTATAATCAGCAGATACATAGATTTTAAAATCCTGCTACTTGTGTAAACATTTTAATTTATCTGACAATTTTTCTTCCACTAGTGTTACACAGATGCTTTGCTTGTTTAATATCCTTGTTGTTTGATACATTTTTTTTTTGTGATAATTATTTATGATTTAAACTTGAAAGTTAAATAAATGTTCATTGAATAAATTATATATAAATTGATGTGGTTTATTTTTTTCAGCCATTGTTTTTGAAAATGTTGATAAAAACAGTGAGAAAATACCCTCAATGGTCAAATACAAAATCCGCATGGATACTGATAATGTAGATGGTACAAAGAAAATAATGGACAAGTAAATAATATTGATTTTTAAAAAAAATCTTTTTTTTTCTATATTTAATTTTGTGATTCTAAGTAATCTTGATAGAATAAATATAAAGCCCTTAAAAAGTGTGTAAGCAAGATTTTTTTTTTAATAGGGCTATAGGTTTTGTAGTGAGCAAATTTATGTATTCTAAAACAAAAAACATTTTAACAATATCAAAAGATGACAATTAATCTCAGCTTTTAATCATTTCTTCTTTAGTGTAGTGTTTTCATTCCAAAAACTACTAACAAGAAAGTCTGAATGAATTTTTCAGTTAATTTATCTTGGTGATTGTAAATGTTCCCAGGTACTGGAGACCAGGAAATCGTGCTGGCCTTATTGATTTAAAGTACTGGATCTATGGATTTATTTACATTCAAGACATGATTGATCATGCCATCATAAGATTACACACCAATGTCACACAAGAACCTGGAGTTTATACCAAGCAAACACCATATGGTTGCTACATCTATGATAAGTAGGTTTGCCAGAGTAATTAAATTCAGCTTACTTGTACCAATTTTACAAAAATGTTAGAAAACTATTGTTAAAGTAGTCTTGAACAAATGCATACTGTAGTAACATCCTTGATATAATGAATTCTAAAAGATTAATAATGCTTACAAATAGTAAAGAAACTTTAAAAAATGGCTTGTTTATTAATCAGACCATTATTTTCTTATGTCCAAAGTTTCTAACATACTAGCTTACATCTGTGTACAAACTAATGTTTCTTTATAACAACCTTCTTTATTGATCCCCTATATTTTAACTATTGTGTCTTATATTCTTTTTTCTTCATCTTCCAATGTACCAGTGATTTTTAAGTGTTAGAAACAGACAAAAATGTATACAAAGGGACCATCTGTAAAAATTCATGCTAACTACAAACACCATCTGAGAACAGATTAAAATTTTCAACCATTAAACTGGATATCACATAGTTATCATTAAATTTTTTTCATTTTAGATTTGTTTTTGCTATATCTCGAAGTCTTCCCTTATTCATGGTAATTGCATGGATCTATACAGTGGCAATGATAATAAAAGGTACAGATACAGTTCTTGTAAAATTATGTGTGGTTTTAGTTTATATTTTCTTTAAGTAACACACTTTTTGAGTGTCTATTTCACAAAGTACATTTAAGAGTTTATTATCTTTTACCCCCCCCCCCCCCCCCCCCCCTCAACCTGACACACATTTTCTTTACTTTATTAAACTCTCATGAGCACTAAATCAATAGAAACACATCTTTGCTGCTTAAATAAAACATTTGTTAAACTTGTAGGTGTTGTTTATGAAAAAGAGAAGAGACTAAAAGAAGTGATGAAAATTATGGGACTTAGCAATGGAGTCCACTGGCTGGCATGGTTCATAACTTCATTTGTTATGATGCTCATTACAGTTATATTGTTTGTTATTGTTCTAAAGGTAATCAATATAACAAAAGTAGTAACTCTTATGACAACTTGACTACAGTGTAGATATTGACTGTCCTTTCTTTCCCTACACCCACCACCCCCCTAATCTCTAGTACCTATCTTGCTTGGATAGTTTACAAGAAGGTAATTATAAAATAAAATACTATGAGAAGTCACTCTAATCCTATACTATTTACAATAATAATTTGTCTGTGTGACTCTTTTGATGAGAATGATTATTTTCCCCATCACTTAAAAAAAATTTCATGAAACAAATGAGAGGCATGACAGTTTACAATAGTCTGGGTGACTTTTTATTCTTTTCACTCACATGGAGAAAATATCCTTGGCCTCTCACACATTCTCTTCCTTCACCTTGGCTATCTGTCAATGACATCAAATGAAACTAATGAATTCAGAGAGGAAATATAGCCGAAAAAACTGACAAGAACAAATTAAAAAAAAAACAATAATAAATGTATGTATATATATATATATATATATATATATATATATATAATATAAAAGCTGCTCTAAAGATGCAAATCTTGAACTTTTTTGTTTGTTTCAGGCAGGAAAAATATTGGAATATTCCGATCCTTCTGTGATACTTGTCTTCATGATAGGCTTCACATGTTCAACTATTAGCCAGTGTTTTCTTATATCTGTTTTTTTTAACAAAGCCAACCTGGCAGCTGTTTGTGGGGGTTTCATCTATTTTGTATTGTATCTGCCCTACACCCAGCTGGTGCAGTTTGAAGATGTCATCACCACTAGTGAAAGAATCTTAGCTGTAAGTTTAAAATAAATTTAAATGCTTTGTAAAAATTCTGCTCGATATATTTTGTTGGCCTTCTCCATAAGTGGGTACTAGATGGTTAATGTTTGAAATTTTAAAGTATATTATTGTTAATAGTTGGGGTACAACAAGCAAGTTGATGATGAGCAACCTAGGTTAAGGTCATCTTAAGTGACAGACAACATGCATACTCTATAAATTTCCAAAATAATTAAGAAATCAAATTTTGTTCCAGAGCCTTTCCTCTAACATTGCCATGGGTTATGCATGCAGCTATTTTTCTCAATATGAAGAGCAAGCAATAGGAGCACAGTGGCACAATATTAGAGAGAGTCCAATGGTGGATGATACCTTCAATCTTAAAACCTGTATTGGCATGCTATATTTAGACTCTGTCATTTACCTCTTCCTCACCTGGTACATTGAGGCTGTTTTTCCTGGTAAGATTTAAACAACTTTTAGAAGCATTTAGACTTTTCTCTACTTTTAATGAATAGGTTACAATCCAGATTTAAAATATAATGAGAACAATACCCTTTTGATATTGTAAAATTTAATTTTATCTAGGTGAATATGGGATTCCAAGGAAATGGTATTTCCTCATACAAAAGTCGTATTGGCTTGGGACCAAGGGAAATATTGCTCCTAGAGTTGATGCTGAAATATCTGTTGAAGATATTGGAAGTAAGTTTTATTAGATAATAGGCCTTATTTGAACAAAGTAAGACTCATTATATCTGGTGTTGCACAGAACTTGCTGATATGTTATTACAGATGATTTTACAATGATAGATGACATTTTATTTACAAATGCTGGCTTTGTTTTATTTTTATAGTTCTTCCCCCTTTCCACACTGTCATCTATTCACAGGGGAGATAATCCACCACATTTGTGATCACTGGTTTGGAATTGGTTAACAATAATAATTTAATTCTTAATAAATAAACAAAATGGAATGATAATTGTCTTAAAAATATTAGAAAATTTCATCCAAATATATTTTGTACTTTATATTTGTACACAATGATCACAAACAATGATAGAGACATAGAACTATTGGGCACGCTTTAACACATGACTACAAAAGACTTAACCAACAAAATATTTTAGATTCCTATTGGTTTCTAAACTTTACCTAAATTATCAAAATTCTAATTTTATTATTGATTCTCTATTTAAAAAAAACACAAGTTTTTGTGTGTGCTAGCATAGGTCTTTGTGTTAGAGTTTTGATTATAATTCTAGCAAAATAAACTCACAATCACATATTGCCAGTATTTATAGAGCAGCCTACCTAAAGTACACTTAAACTAAGCACTAAAGGAAAACATTTTTTCCACAAGAACCTTGAACTTCAATATTAAACTAAAATTTTTAGTGATTTTAAAAATATTATACAACACAAATTTTTGACTTTTTTTTTTACCCAATCCCATTCCTTACATAATACTGTGCAATATTTTCAAACACCATTTGCCATATATCAGATAGCATTTCTATTAGTCACACCATCTTCCTCATAAATACATGACACCGATATACTTGACATATCTTCATTAAAGCAATAACTCATTTTCAACCAAAAGAAAAAATAAATGTTAGCTAATTAATCTAATCATACTAATAAAGAAAAATGTTATGAAAATAAGAAAAAAGTCAATCAAAGAGTTTGTTATGCTCTACACACATTACCTATCCTCTTGGCCTCCTCTAGCACGCCATGTTGCCATGCCTTCCTGGGTTGACCCCTGCGTCGCTTGCCTTGGATGGTTCCACTCCAAGGCCTGCCGTGCTCTATTGCCAGCACCCTTCCTAAGCGTCCTTGTGTTATATGATATATGCGTCCTTGTTATATTATATATGCGTCCTTGTGTTATATGATATATGCATCCTTGTGTTATATGATATATGCTTAATGCCTCATGCCTCCTTCACTAAAGATTTCATTTCATACTTTTATTTCCATATAACAGCATAATGATATTATGTTCTGTTAAAATTTCCAGATAGCAATGACAATTTTGAAAAAGACCCAACTGGTCGTCCCATAGGGGTGGCAGTAAAAAACTTGCGTAAAATTTACAACAAAGGAGACAAGATTGCTGTAGATGGACTTACTCTTAATTTCTACGAAGGTCAGATCACCTCATTTCTTGGCCACAATGGTGCGGGTAAAACAACAACCATGTAAGTTGAAAATTGTCTTTGAATGTTAATAAATAATTTCTATGAATATATTGTTACTACAAAAAATACTCATAAACAAACAAACAAACATGAGCACATTTAGACAAACACAGGACATAAAATATTTGATTAAATGTCAAATGTGATTATATTAATTGCTTTAAACCAATTTAGGTCAATCTTAACTGGACTTTTTCCACCAACATCTGGGACAGCTTACATTTATGGACACAACATTTTGACAGATTTAGATGAAATTAGGAGTGGACTTGGCATGTGCCCACAACATAATGTGCTCTTTGACCTGTAAGTACTTCCAGTAGTTTGTTGATTGACTTCTGTGTCAGGTGACAAAACATGATGCACTTTTTAAAATCTTATAGATAGAACAACAATAGTAAAAATAGAATCAGTCTATTGATGACATTGTACAACAGTGGCGTAGGCAGGTAGGGGTTAGGGGGGGTCAAAACCCCCCATAGACCCCTCGGTATATATAAAAAGTATGAGGGGGGGTGCAAATCGAAAGTTTGAGGGGGGGGGGGTGCAAATCGAAAGTTTGAGGGGGGGGGGGGGGGTGCAAATCAAAAGTTTGAGGGGGGGTTGCAAAGTTTGTCCCCGGGTAAAAATTGGACCCCCCCCTTGAGACGATCCTGGCTACGCCACTGTTGTACAATGTGCATACTGTGTAATGGCTTACTGCATAAAGTTTTAATTTCAAAATGATAGGCCAAAATTTAATACCAGGTTTAACCAGTAACAATATCTTATTGTTAAAACACAGCTTTCGTCTTAAACTACACATTTTGTAGCTAGTTTTAATTTAACTTGGTTTTATTTTGTTTTGTAAAACATAATGGGATCAACTTACAAAGAATGATCATTTTTAAAAATATCTTTTTAAAATAAATGATATAATGTTTTTTAAAGCCTTTACATCTTGATGTATTAACATTAGACTGACAGTTGAAGAGCACATCTGGTTTTATGCTCGCCTTAAAGGAAGAAGTGCCATAGAAGTGAAAAAAGAGACGGAAGAAATGATTAAAGATGTTGGCCTTCCTAATAAAAGAAAGGAAAAAGCTGAAAATTTGTCTGGTAAATTATTTTTTTGATTTTACTATTTTCTCTCCTTAAATTGTTTGATATTGTTGATATGTAAACATTTTTTATTGATCAATGATGTAAAAATTTGTTTAAGTGTTAGTAGTCAAACAATTAAAAATTAATGTCCTCAGGTGGAATGAAACGTAAACTTTCTGTGGCAATTGCATTTGTTGGGGGCTCTAAAACAGTTATTCTTGATGAACCAACTGCAGGTGTTGATCCTTATGCTCGCAGAGCCATCTGGGAGTTGTTGCTTAAGTTTCGCAAAGGTTTGTATTGTACTTTCTACACCCAAAACTACAGGCTAGAAATATGTTTGTACATACTATACACAATACCACAGACTAGAAATATGCTTGCAGTAGCGTTTACATCATAGTGTCACCCCTTCCCTTGTTATAATTGATGATTTGTAATTTAAAAACTATTTAACTTTAATTAATCATTAATGGAACCAGCAAAAAGCATTTTTCTTCTGTACATTTTCAATTTTTTTTGCCTTGGTGTCACCCCTCAAAATGGTGTCACCCGGTGCGCACCCCTGCCCCACCCTCGCTACGCCTCTGTATGTTTGTACATACTACACACCAAACCACAGGCTAGAAATATGTTTGTACATACTATATCAAAAACAAGTATATTAGTACTGGACACAAGACACACTATAGAACACTGTCCACAACACAATGACACCAATCTCATGCACTAACACTTAACTATTGCGGTCTTTTATGGGCACAGTATTTACTGGAACTTAGCTTACCCAGAAGTTGGTCAGAAGCAGTGATAGTATAATGTGAGGGTCCGTCATTAGAAATAATTTATAATTTATTGATGGGGCTCAACTGTAGCTTTAATAAACCATAAACATTTTGTGCAATGGTTCTTTACTGATATAAACAGACACACAAAAGTTAGCTAAACTTGCTAGCAGTAAATAGTCTGTCAAATAAAAATAAACATAAGAGAAAGCACATGAACAAAATGGACATTTTTGAATGAACTGAACTGTACTAATCTCATCTGCAATGGGTAAGAAGTGTAGCATTACTTGCATGTGCATTTTTAATGAGGAGGCATAATGTGTAGATTCAAAATTTCAAGATTTTTTTTGGTGGGGGTGAAACTGGGGGTGTATTGGAGACTACCTTCCTCTGAAAAGTGAAGTAGATTCCTAGATGGCTACAATTGTCGTAATACAATTAATTGTGAAACAAAAATACCATTATCCTATATGTTTTAAAAACGTATTGTAAGTATATATTTTTTATTATTGCCAGTTCATGTGGCATTATTCAAACTGTACTGATATAACAAAGCTATGCTCAGTACAACACATTTGAAACTCCAGGTCGTACAATCATCTTGTCCACTCACCATATGGATGAAGCTGATGTACTAGGTGACAGAATAGCAATCATTTCTCAAGGAAAACTTTGTACTGTTGGCACCAGTTTGTTTTTAAAAAACAAATTTGGAAGTGGATACTATTTGACTTTAGTCCGGCAAGAAGTGGATGCCATTCCACCCAATGGCTCCTCCAGACCTTCTACGGCTACTAGTATAAGAACAGTAGTGGATGTTCAGGTCAGTTTTATAAGTAGATCATTTATATAGTAGGAAGTTTGTAATGGAAATATTCCAGAAAGACTCTGTTTTGTCAGGTATGGTTATAAAAATTATGGCAGGGAAGTTTTGTAGCTTAATTTAACCCAGTGCTGGTCTCTCATTGTATTAATTGCTGACATCTGTTAACAATATGCAATGCTATGTGCAGCATCAAAAATAAATGTGTGCATCTTTTTTAAAGACTACTATGTTAAAGCATTTTATTTTATTTTGTTTGTTAATTGATGGAGAAAACAATTTTCATTATTAAAAAAAAATTTAAGTATGAACTGACTTGCAGAAATTTAGTTATAAATGGTTTCAATAGTTCATTTATTCAAATTTTGGGCTAAGCCGTTAAATTTAATAATAAACTTTTTCAGCCCATTATGCTTACTGAAGAAGATGATGAAGGCTATGATGCTCTGGATTCATCTAGTGATGATGTACCAATTCCCTTACCTCCTTTAAAGTCAAAGACAATGGTGCCTGGTAAAATATTGTTATCATTTCTAGAAAAAATATTTTAAAACTTAATGTTTTTGAAGCTGCCATCTTTCATTTGCACAATGTCAATGTGGGCATGACACAACTAAGCCATAGAAACATTAACATGACCCAAAATAAATACTTATATTGTTGTATACATTATGCTAAATAAAATGCACAGTTTATATGCATTGAAAAGTATAGATAAATATGTGATTTCATAAAATCTTAGTGTTGTAGATGGCACAGTAGATTTGTAGCACCATGTTCCTGTTTGACATCTGAATGATTGTTGACAAATAATGATTCATTGACTAGTAGATCTAGGTTTAAAATCAAATCTTCTTTGCATGCAACATTCAATGATCTTCATGTGGTGCACCACAAACACTATATAACAGACACTAAAACATTAAAACTCCTTACTAACACTATATAACAGACACTAAAACATTAAAACTCCTTACTAACACTATATAACACACTAAAACATTAACACTCCTTACAAACACTATATAACAGACACTAAAACATTAAAACTCCTTACTAACACTATATAACAGACACTAAAACATTAAAACTCCTTACTAACACTATATAACAGACACTAAAACATTAAAACTCCTTACTAACACTATATAACAGACACTAAAACATTAAAACTCCTTACTAACACTATATAACAGACACTAAAACATTAAAACTCCTTACTAACACTATATAACACACTAAAACATTAAAACTCCTTACCAACACTATATAACACACTAAAACATTAAAACTCCTTACTAACACTATATAACACACTAAAACATTAAAACTCCTTACTAACACTATATAACACACTAAAACATTAAAACTCCTTACAAACACTATATAACAGACACTAAAACATTAAAACTCCTTACTAACACTATATAACAGACACTAAAACATTAAAACTCCTTACTAACACTATATAACACACTAAAACATTAAAACTCCTTACAAACACTATATAACAGACACTAAAACATTAAAACTCCTTACTAACACTATATAACAGACACTAAAACATTAAAACTCCTTACTAACACTATATAACAGACACTAAAACATTAAAACTCCTTACTAACACTATATAACAGACACTAAAACATTAAAACTCCTTACTAACACTATATAACACACTAAAACATTAAAACTCCTTACAAACACTATGTAACAGACTCTAAAACATTAACACGCCTTACAAACACTATGTAACAGACTAAAACATTAAAACTGCCCACCACTTAACTTTTAGTTCTATGCTGTGTGTGTGTAAAAAAAAGTAGAGTAGGCTACCCTTTCAAAACTCACAGTCAATAGGGCAAGTAAAGTAGAGTTCCCCTATTTCAGTCACCTCAGCACATAAAGGGATAGGGTTGTCAGCATTATGCCCAGCCCCTTTATTTTCCCTGACATCATAGCTGGATGGATGGAACCATGGACTTCATACAGACTTAACCCCTGGATCTGAACTCAAGACATAAGCATTAACAGTCATATTCTCTACCATCCAACCATGCAGTGATATTGTGTGTAACAGTTTTTAAACTAATGAAAACTTCTTGATATGTGAGTTGATGCTGTGTGTGTGTTTTATCCCCTAGGCTTCAACCTGCCTCGCCTGATAGTCTATGTGCAAAGATTTGTTCCTGGTGCTGTGCTGGTTGAAGATAACAGTATGGAAGTTTGTTTCCGTCTGCCAGAGGGGGAAGATCACGCAAGGAAGTTTCAAGAACTATTTGCGGCACTAGAGCTCTCTCACCAGGAACTTGGGATTTCAAGCTATGGAATTTCTGATACAAGTTTAGAAGAGGTGACACTTTTTAAATCATCTGGAAGAAAACTATGTATGTGTGTTTAGGATGTTTTAAACTTTGAAACAAAAGTCTGGCAATCCAACTTTAAAGTGTTTTAGTCAGGATTGTATTCCTTCGGACTGTATTTTCTTAAATATTGAATATTTCATACTAAACTGTGTATGGAATTTTTGAAAATTAAAGTATTCTTATTATTCATTGTAGAGGATTTTTTTTTTACCAGTTTGAAATTAAACATAATTTAGGTGTTCCTTAAAGTAGCAGAAGAGAATGGTGATGGTGTTGACTCCAATGAGACATCAAGATCAAAACTTACTGAGATGAAAGAAGGTAGGTGGCATCCACTTAAAATTATACCATACCAATAATTAGAAAAACACAAAAACAAAAATTTCTAAAAATAAAAAAAGTATACTCATATCTTTGAATTACAATTAAAAACTTCTGATGATGGGAGAACATTAATCTATATATCTAAAAAGCAATGTATGTCTGTTTGTTTGTCTGTCTTTTATGCATTGCTACACCTTTCATCCGATCACCATGAAATTTTGGGAAGTTGTTGAGAATACTTCAGGGGAGGTTTCTGCAAAAAAATCTTTTTTAATTTTGCAAGGGAGGTGCCCTGGGAGGGTGTGATTCTTCTCTATATACGATATAAAAAATAAAAGTCTAATGCGGTCTGACACCGTTCATCTGAGTGCTATGAGACTTTGGGGAGTTGATGAAATTACCCCAGATAAGGATTCTACGAAACATAAAATTAAAATTTCTTATGGGCGGCCAGGAGGATGTGATTTTTTTAAATACACAGTTTGGCATCCTGAGTTCCAAAGTGACAATCTAAACTGGGCGTCCTGCATAGCGGGTAAGGGGTACCACTATATTAGGCAGTAAAACTTCAACAGGCACAGCCGCCGGTGTCCTGGCAGTTGCGGAACCCGATGAGTCTCGGGGTCCGCTGTGAGCACTATGACATCTACGTTCATTTAAAAAAAAGGCTATGCACTAAAAACACAATAATCATTCACTAAATTGAAATAGGCAAGTCTGTCGGCGCCCCAGCTTGGTGCGATTTGGCGCCACTGGCTACCCTGCAGGGTGTGATTTGCCCCAGGCTATCCTCGGACTTTCTTTTGACACTGTGGCAACATACGGGGACGGGCATGCTAATTTCAAATAAATCATGTACAAACCTTTTTATAACTAATCTTTGTGATTCTTGCAGCTCATAAATGGATTAAAATACTTTTGAGCTGAATCTCTCCAGGTTCCTATTTATAGAATTATTTCCGTCACAATTTTTGTAGTCACAGGTTCTGCAAACAAAAGGAAAAAATGAATTTGTTAATTCCAATAGCTGCCTGTGGTTACCATAGATTGCTAACTACTTTTCAGCTAGTGATCCAGCTGTAAAGCTTGAATTAACAATTTAAAGTCCAGAGTTGAACTTTTCCTTATCTGTTATGCAAACCTTGTGTCTAGTTAGCTCTCATGTGTATTCAGCATCAAAGGCAAAGTCTGCCACAGCCTCAAAAAGGTTACAAAGGAATTATTAATCACACAATTTATCAATCATTCTTTATCTTTAATTTTATTTTAATCACAGATGGCAGATATCCAAAACCAACTATTAGAAGTAGACTTAAAGGAAAATTGCAAACAAGTGTTTTTCAACTGAATTACAGAAATCGTGTGAATTCAACAGAGAGGCTGACAGCTGATGTTGATGATGAAGGTAAAGATTGTTAAAAATATGAATGTCATAAGAAGCAAGGCTGCTGACAAGAAATGTCTTATAATGTAAAGCTAAATATTATTCACAGAATTGTTAGTTCCAAATATTGTAATGTAAATGCTAATGTAATTCACAGAATCCTTAGCTCAAGATGTTGTAGAGACATTTTCTGATGTGAACTTTAGTGGTGCAGGAGAGGTCAAGGTTACTGGTCAAAAGCTGATCCTTAGACAAATGATTGCACTTTTCCTTAAACGTCTTCATCATGTCCGTCGTAGTAAAAAAGGTTTCATAAGTGAGGTGAGACTAGGAAATAGTTTTATTTGTGTTTGTGAGTTAGAGTTGGAAATAGTTTTATTAGTAAGGTTAGTTAGAGTAGGAAATAGTTTTATTAGTGAGGTGAGTTAGAGTAGGAAATAGTTTTATTAGTGTTGTGAACAGGAAATAGTTTGGTTAGAGTTTTACCCAATCAAGTTAATATTCTTTAAAATAATCTGCTGTATAGCTCTGTTTTACCCACAAGATGCCTCATAAAAAAAATAATCTAAAGTTAATATTAAAAAATACTTTACAGATAATTCTTCCAGCTGCATTTGTCTGTCTGGCCATGGTGTTTTCATTGATACTCCCATCTTTTTCTGAACAACCACCTCTAGAGCTTCAACCCTGGATGTATGAACCAAAGAAAGGAGACAACTTTTTATATACCTTCTACAGGTATCATTTTAAAGTTGTCTAATATATTTGAATATTTATTTTTGTAGGCATACATTTTTACCATCAACATTTTTCCTGTTCAAATTTACAGATTTGTTTTATTTAATTTTACAGCAATGAAGAGCCGAATAATCCATTGACTTCTGAACTGGAATATAATCTCCTCCATGAGCCATTCTATGGAACAAGATGCATGAACTCAAGCATTTACACAATAAGGTTTAGACTTTTGATATGAATTGTTGTACATTAGCCTTACTAAACTATTAATTATTGAGCTGACTCTCATAACCTTATTAGGCTGTATTAAATATTGAGCCAACTGAAGGAGCCTTATCAAGCAAGTATTAAATATTAAACTGGCTAACCTATTGTGTTTACTTTCTTGCAGTGGTAAATCTTGTTTGCAAGCATCTAAGATGGAGTGGACTGCAAAGCAATCACCTGCAAATACTAATGATAGCCCTACATGCTCTTGTGAAACAGGTTTTCAGATCTGTCCAGAAGGTAAAGAAATTCTTCAGAGAGAACATTTATGATCAGAAAAGTGGTGTTTAAAATTTGCTACAAATTAATTTATTCTGTTTTAAAATATGTGTTTAAACACATCATATTTTCAGTAATGGATCAAAATGAAAGTTTACATTAATAATTTTAAAATGGCATGTTGCTTGTTACATTACCTAATGTTAAGACAAAAATGTTTTACCAACAAAGATTTTAAGATGATTTATCTCTGACTAGGCCTGCGCAAATGTGTCTCTTAAAAATAAACTAAACTAAAACACAGCATAATAAATAATATTTAATTTAATTATTTTAATTAAATCCAAGCCAAAACTAACTCAGAAAAACTTTTCTGTCATTTCCATCAATTTTATGAAGCAAAGACTTTTTATCTTAATATTAAAAGTATTGAAATCCAGAATATAAATTAAAGATCCAATATATATATATCATAAAAATATCTTAACTGTAGTCAGCAGCAAATGTTGATGGACCTGCATTTTCTCAGTTCCAAAAGAATGGTTGATTTGTTATTGATTTTAGAGCTACTGGAATAAACCAACTAAATGTGAAAACAAGACAATGGATTTCAAAGCAACTACTGTGCTATGAGCAAAAATAGTGGGAGATATTGTACTTGCAAAATATCAGTGGCATGAGAAAGAGAAACCTTTTCTCAACATATAGGCCTACATTGTAACTGTCTAATGTAGTTTTTATTTCATGATGTAAAAATACAATCGCTGTTACTTTGTCTGTAGTAAATTGAAACAGAAAATTATCTGCTTTATAATTTATCCTTGTTTTATTTCATTTCATTGATCACAGTAAATATTTTAAATTCATCTTTGATTGGAAAAAAAAACAGGAGCTGGAGGTCCAGAGCCACCAAAAATAAAATTGTGGACAAATGATCGGCTTTATAACACGACAAATCGGAATCTGTCTGATTGGCTGGTGAAAACCTACAGCAAATACCAGAAAAGAAGGTAGCAAAAAGCTTATATATAACCATTAAATAAAACAAAAAGAAAGGTCCATTTCAACTTTCCAGTACCCACTATTTTTTGGACAACTGATGCTACTAACACTTCATTATCTGTGTGTCTTTATTGATTCCACATAAACAATAAAATGAGCATATTATTTTGGAACCATTTAAGATTTGGATACATAGCAAAATAATATCAAAGACTGATTGTAAATTAATAACTAAGGTTTAAAGGGAATAAACAACAAAAAATTGGTGGGGTCTGTAATGATTAATATTACTATCACCTAGTAATTATGATCTCTCTTATTAGCTGGTGAAAACCTACAGTACTGCTTAAAAAAGGTAGCTTGTCTAATATCTGATTGTATACAGAGTGTAAATAAATAACTAATTGAAATTCTCTAGATATGGCGGTTACAGTTTTGGTGATGCTAATGCAGTGAAGCCCCTTGGTGCTGGCCAGATTTCTACTGCCATTAACAACCTAATTCGCACAGCCAACAACAACAGATCTATATTTTTTGGGAATATTCAACTATTAGAAGATCTTGAAAACAGTCTGATAAATGCTTTTGTTCCAGACACTACTACGGCAAGTGATAACATTTTCATTTTGGTACCTTTTCATCATGAATTTTATAGGCATCTCACACATGTTTGAACTTTCTGATATATTATATTTTTTAAATACCAATTAGGTTTGGTTCAATAATAAAGGATGGGCAGCATCTGTATCTTACATGAATGCCTTAAACAATCTCCTGCTGCGAACATTACTCCCTGACAGTCAAGACCCTAAAGAGTATGGTATTGTTACGATTAATCATCCCATGAACTTGACAAAAGAGCAGTTCAATGAAGAAACACTGTAAGTTGAGACTTGTATATTTCATCTTGACATATTTATAACACTCATTTATAGATAAACTTTGTTAAAAATAGTTATCTATTCAAGTCGTTTGTTATGTACTAATACTCACTGGGGCTTCCGGTTTGGATATTAATATATTTATCAGAACATCTATATATTTGTCTGGTATATGTGGAGCACTTTATAATATGAATTAATGTAGATTAAAGTATTCTTTTTAAAACAAATCTATGTACCAAACTGTATTTAAAGATACTAATAAAATTATAAGGCTCATTAGAATGTAACAACACACTTTTAACAACCTGAATAGAGTAGTATTTTCCATTATTTTTGATGCACAGGAAAATGTTCTCTCCAAAATCAAACACTTTGAGGTTGCTGGTTGAAACTCTTACCACATTATAATGCTTTATTTTCTGCTAGCTATAAATTTATGGATACATGAATTTGTTAAGTACCAACAATATTATCAATTTTCAAAAGGATATGCTTAACAAATCTTTCAAAGTGATATTAAAAAAATTGATATATTTTCTTATCCAGCTCATCAATAATAAGTCACCTCAAACATGGTGTATTTACAAACACACTGAAGGCAATTGAAGAATTTCTTGAATGGTTAAATTGGTTGTGTGGCATAATACATCGGAGTTTATTTTTTATGTGCATTGTTACTTACATTAATATATTAACTACTTCAACATTTTACTAATAAGTAAACTGAGTGAAATATTAACCAGGAATAATTTAAACACAGTGTTTTGACATGGTAGGTGGTGGAGAGTTTGTGTAGGAGGTAAGCTGGGGTGGTTTTGGGGTGAACATAGCCAGATGGTTCATGAGGTGTGGTGAGTCAGCAGACTGGTCCTCTAGTCAATTTCAAAAGTAAGTAATAACTACAATTGTAATATCTTTTTCTTTTCAACAGATACAACAGTGCAGTGAATGTTGTTGTAGCAATATGTGTCATATTTGCCATGTCCTTTGTGCCTGCCAGTTTTGTACTTTTCCTAATTGAAGAGCGTGTGTCCAACAGCAAACATTTGCAGTTTGTATCAGGAATCAAACCAACTGTCTACTGGCTGGCCAACTGGGCTTGGGATATGGTAATTACATTTATAACATTAATGGGTAATTACAAATAGGTGTTTTCAGCAAAGACCATCCAAAAATGTGTTACTTAAATCTCCTCCATTTTCCTTCACAAAAAGTTCTATTAGTTCTATTTTTAAAAATTATGCTTTTTCATTTTAGTAGAACTACAGGTTTTTAAATGGTAAAGTAAGACGTAAAATCCTTTGTATTGTTATAGATAAGATAAAATGAAAACTCATTTATTCTAAAAAAAAACAAACAAATATACATAAAAACGATTAATGCTGAATGTTTGTTTCATAAATAAATTCATTAATATCGTGTAGGATAACTTTTTGAGCTACACTAAACTTTGCTACTTAATTAAAACATTATAAAATAATGGATGCTCTTGAATGTCCCAATTTCAAAATCAATTAGTTTCAGTTTGTTTTTTTGCCCTGAATGTTAAAAATGAAAAAGTACATAGATCTAGTTTCACATTAAAAAAAAATAATGATGAAATCTGTTACAGCGTAAAGAAAAATTAATAAGAAATTTGATAATAAGTAGAATAAATCAACATATTTAAAAGTATGAAAGACTATTGCATCATACATAAATTTAATGTTTAACCAAAATCTTGAAACTCTATGTACCTTTTAAAATAATTTACACTAGCCGACCTGTGGCGTATCATACACCGCTATTTAGTGGTTTTATTTTCCACTTTTCAGTAATTCATAATTTGTGAATTCGACAGTACCAATGCTGCCACTGAAAATATTTGCTTTAAAACACTACCCCCCCCCCCCCTTCATTCAACCCCTACCCTATACCCCCCCCCCCCCCGTGAAAGCAGCCTCCTCTTAGTTACCTCCTCTAAGTTTAAAATCGTTTCAAGCTAAATTATCTGCCCCTAACAACTGTCACTAAACCCGGCTCTACAAATGTAAACATTTAGAGTGAACACCGCTCACCAGACCATGTGGGGGGTGGGGGTGGTAGTGATAGAGAGGAAGAGAGGGGACTGCAAGACGCGCTTGCAGATTGTTTTCTAACATCTCCCAGAAGAGAATTATATATATAGATCTTAACTCTACCATTTTGATATGTACAAATCATTTGATGTGTTGTTAAAGATGCTTTGGTCTATCCGCAGATAAATTATGCCATTCCAGCACTATTATGTGTCTTCATATTTCTAGCATTTGGCAAAGATGCTTATGTTTCAGCCAAAAACTTGCCTTGCTTGTTTGCTCTTCTGTTTTTGTACGGGTAAGTCAATGTTTTGTTCAGATGTTTGAATGCTCATCTAATAAATTAAGGATGCTGAACTGTATCATTCAATTGTTTCAATCTTCTATCTACAGCTGGGCCATTACACCAATGATGTACCCATTCTCCCGTTTGTTTGATGTTCCCAGTTCAGCTTTTGTTGCTTTGTCTTGTGTCAATGTGTTTCTTGGTACTGTATCAACATTAGCCACATTTATTCTGGAACTTTTATCCAGAGATGATCCAGTAAGTATAACATATTTTCAAGACACTTTTCTCTCCTTCTCTGTTAATAGAACTTTACCAAGGGTCTTGTCCAATTGTCACTTAAGGGCATGGGGAGGTGATGAATACCAAATTAGCCAAAATGCTCATTATAAACCTAATACTATCATATCTAGCATATGGTTACAACTTAAAGAGTTAAGTCTAAAAATTTATAAATGGCCAAAAATTTCCTACCATTGCCATGGTGATGGCGGCCATCTTGGATTTTTTTTTACAATTTTAACATTGAATTAACTTTCTTAATTATTATAAAAATTGATCAACATTTTCTGTATTTATTTTGTATACATATACCAGTAAAACTGATAGAACACATTTTTGAAAATTTGTATGGTTTTTCTTTTACAGTTAAAATTTTTTCACAAATTTAGATTATTTTAAAGTGATTTTCAGAAAAAAAAATTGTGAAAACAAAAGTATTTTAAAATTTTAAAATGTAATCAATCACGATTGTTACCAACATGTATCTCTATACTCCTGCAAGTTTTTATTGAATTCGCCTAAGCCATCTTTGAGTTATTTCACTATTAATAATGTTAAAAAAAAGTAAATAAAATCAAGATGGCTACCATGGCAACTGCTTAAAATTTTCTGCCATTTTAATTTTAATTTTTAGACTTAACTCTATGAGTCATAACTATGTGCTAAATATCATAGCATAAGATTTAGAAATAAACATTTTGGTTATTTTGGTTTTAATCCACTGCCCATGCCCTTAAAGTTTATTTTTATCCACCTTGTCCAGTCCTTACACAAATGTTTGGACCCACATGTCTACATGTAATACAATATCACAAAAAAGTTTGAGCTTATCTTCCCACCCAGCTGTTTATATACTTTCATTTAAACAAGTCACATAAAAATATGTGACCCCCCCCCCATGCCAAAAAGCAAATGCATGCTTATAATAACATGGCAACAGATAAAGAATGGGTCAAACTGCTGTGTAGGTTGATTTTATGAATGAGTTTGCTGTAGTATGAGAAACCATGAAATATGTATTTGATGACTTCCTCAGGATCTAGGGGACATAAATAACATTTTGAAACAAGTGTTCCTGCTTCTGCCTCACTATTGCTTAGGGCGTGGTCTAATTGACATGGCTTCGTACCAGTTACAAGCTGATGTGTCAGAAAGATTTGGTAAGAAACAAATATGTCTGTGATGATGGTCTGATGAGAAGCTCATTAAAATAATTTTATCTACATGAAAAGTAAAAGTATAAGAGATTAAATATTTTTCAATGGATGGTTAACTCTGCATAGAGTTGACAACTATCATCATGATTCTTCCCTGCTTGTAATATTAAAGTATAATAAAAGAATAATTCGGTATCAGTTGGTATGCTTTAGTATGCTAAAAAAACCTCTAGTACCATCAACATCCACGGTCATTGCTTTGTGAAAAAAGTAGTTAGTGCCAGAAGATACTGGTTGCAAACCCTGTACCAGTGATTCATGGATAATTTAGAAAATATATTGTTTTAGGATTAAGTATTATTTGAATGAAACTTTTTTTTTTAGGTAAGCCATTAGTATACAGTTTATTTGAATGGAAAATTGTGGGACGTAATCTATTTGCACTGGTTTTCTTGGGTTTCTTCTTTAATCTGCTCAATTGGTTGATAGAATACAAGTTTTTCATTTCATGGAAGTAAGTATTTCCTTAAATAGTTGTGCTTATATGTAAGTAATTGAGAGTACCATTTCATTATGGATAATTATATTTTAAGTAGTTATTTAAAATAGCTGATTAGAGCTCATTCAAAATAACAGGCTATTAAAACATATTTAAAGAAGTGGCTGAAAATGAAATACTTCTATTTAGGCAACAGGAAATGTACATAAATTCTTTCTTAACTAAAACTGATTATTTTCCTTAAAATTTTTACATTATAAGGTTCTTGTCCAAGCAACCAGCATTAAAAACTAGGTATGAAGATGTGGATGTTGCTAGAGAGAAGCAAAGAGTTTTGTCAGGTGGGGCTGTAAATGATGTTTTGAGACTTGAAGGACTTACCAAAGTAAGTTATTTAAACTGTCAGCTCAGATATAAAGGGATGTCTTATTTGTTACTTAAAGAATTTTTGTGTTAATGAGCATTATTAACTGTTTAGTTAGTTGAAGTGACTAAACAAAACTTGGAAAAAAAAACAACCCAAAGCAAATTGTTTTTTTCTTTTGGTAAGCAAACACAAAAATATTTATTACCTCTTTAAATTTATGAGAAATATTTATAATATATTGCGCTAAACATAAATATTTTCAAAAATCAAAATGTTTACAGAAATTATTCTCCCAAAATAGTAAATTTCCCATTCTAATTAAAAATGTGTAATGCCTCAAAATAAAGGGAAAATTCAATTGTGTCATATAAATTCATGAAATGTAAATTTTCTAAATTCTTACAGCTTTAATTTTCATGCTAAAAAAAATTGTAACACCTCCCAAGCTGAAATTAGCATGTTTATCTTCCATACCTAACAAAAATAAAAGTATTTTAAACTAAGTATTGCCCACTGTCCAATTTATTCAAAGAATTCTATTGTTGGAAAGCATTCTTACATCTCGTCCCCCCCCCCCCCCACCCCCACAGATATGTAGCCATATGATGCCATATCTTGCTACTGAATTTTACTAGATTTTACTTTTTACACAATTGGCTTTTTGGGGCTACATATTATTATGTTGTGCATAGAAGTATTCTCTAATTTAGTTCTTCAGAGATAAGTCAATCAAACTTTTATGGACTTAGTCATTTAGTTACTGTGATGGATTGGAATCACTGACGAGAAGCCACATTGATTGTTAACAGTACTTTATTTACACCTTGAGGAAAGAGAGAGAGGGCGGAAGTCACGAGACACTTATATACATAACATGTAAGGGACATCACTCAAGATAACAATATAAATATAATACTAATACAGAAGAGTGAGTTCCCTTGACTTCACAAGTCTCACTATATTACATCCCTTTACCCTTAGTAAACACAACACATCTCTCAATAGAACAATCTACAGTATCCTAAAATCACCAATTATATTGTAACATGAACACTATGGTAGATTACATCCTTACAAACAATGCACAATATGTTACAACACAATTAAAATACAAACAATGATGTCAAAGTCCTTTTTACCTTTAAAATCATAGGTCTAACTTATTTGGGACTTTGATTGTCCTGTTTGACCTTCTCAGTGGCTTTTGATTTGGTGACTCAATATTCTGACCATTTGGATTCTCTATCTCAGGAGGTCTAGGATTTAAATCATTAACTCCAGAATTTACATTTTCTGACTCTAGACAACTTGGTTCACTCATATCAACAGAACTTGGTTGTGGAACAAACTGAGTTGGTGTGAACTGTTCAGATTTGGTGGGATTGACAGATTCACACTTATTATCTGCACAAGTTATTTTTAACTGGTCTGCATGTCTACGGACAATAAGTCCATCATTTGTTTTTACTTTATAAGACACAGGTCCTGTACATTGAACAATTTGACCTGGTATCCATTTTTCCTTTCTCCCATAATTTCTTAGATACACATTCTCATTATATCCAAATTCTCTTCAATGGATGTTTTGTCATGATTTACTTTTTGTGTATGTTGATGTTGGGAAACAGACCTTTGAACAGTTGGATGTAGTAGGTCAAGATGAGTTTTAATTTTCCTACCACATAGCAATTCGCATGGTGCAACATCTGTTGTTATATGAGGAGTTGTGCGGTGTGATAGATTAGAATCACTGACGAGAAGCTACATTGGTTGTTAACAGTAGTTTATTCACACCATGAGGAGAGAGAGAGAGGGCGGAAGTCACGAGACACTTATATACATAACATGTAAGGGACATCACTCAAGATAACAATATAAATATAATACTAATACAGAAGAGTGAGTTCCCTTGACCTCACAATTATCTCAATCTATTACATCCCTTTACCCTTAGAACACAATAACACATCTCTCAATAGAACAATTGATAGTATCCTAAAATCACCAATTATATTGTAACATGAACACTATGGTAGATTACATCCTTACAAACAATGCACAATATGTTACAACATAATTAAAATACAAAACAATGATGTCAAAGTCCTTTTGACCTTTAAAATCATAGGTCTAACTTATTTGGGACTTTGATTGTCCTGCTTGACCTTCTCAGTGGCTTTTGATTTGGTGACTCAATATTCTGACCATTTGGATTCTCTATCTCAGGAGGTCTAGGATTTAAATCATTAACTCCAGAATTTACATTTTCTGACTCTAGACAACTTGGTTCACTCATATCAACAGAACTTGGTTGTGGAACAAACTGAGTTGGTGTGAACTGTTCAGATTTGGTGGGATTGATAGATTCACACTTATTATCTGCACAAGTTATTTTTAACTGGTCTGCATGTCTACGGACAATAAGTCCATCATTTGTTTTTACTTTATAAGACACAGGTCCTGTACATTGAACAATTTGACCTGGTATCCATTTTTCCTTTCTCCCATAATTTCTTAGATACACATTGTCATTAACACCAAATTCTCTTTCAATGGATGATTTGTCATGATTTACTTTTTGTGTATGTTGATGTTGGGAAACAGACCTTTGAACAGTTGGATGTAGTAGGTCAAGATGAGTTTTAATTTTCCTACCACATAGCAATTCACATGGTGCAACATCTGTTGTTATATGAGGAGTTGTGCGGTATTTGGCTAATAACCTGTTTACTCTTTCATTGTCACATTTAGCTTCTTCTGTTTGGTATTTACTTTTGATGTTACCCTTTTAGTTTCTTTTAGTTTCTGTAAGTGCTAATGATGTTAGCAAAGTTGTTTGATGATCACATTCCTTCTTACTAATGTATTCTCTTTAAAACATTTGAAATTGCCATATCACCATAATCATTTATTAAGTTACAAATACTTTGTTTAGGCAACTCTGACTGATAATGGACTGCATCTTCTCCATCTTTTATATTATCTTCACAAAGGTTTTTATTTCTTATTTTATATGGCCTTAAGTCATCATTCACAGACTCTTCAGGCCAACCATTCTTACAGTACTCATATACTTTTATTAAGCACTCATCTTTTTGTGTTTCTCTTTTAATATCATTCACATTTATATTGGAGTTATCCATGATAGTGAAGAGAACAAATACATCTTCTGGTACATAACTAAGGCTTTGGTTTTTTAAAGGTAATCTACTAAGACTATCTGCACTATTCTCAGATCCAGGTTTGTATTTCAATTCATAATTGTATGCAGTTAGTGTGATAGCCCATCTTTGAATTCTTGGTGAGGCATGCTCAGGTAGGGTTTTGTTTTCTCCAAATAAACCTAGCAATGGTTTATGATCTGTAAAGATGGTGAACTTCCTACCAAACAGAAACTTATGAAATTTCTTAACACCAAAAATGATGCCTAAGCCTTCCCTATCTAACTGAGAATAATTTTTCTCAGCCTGGTTCAAAGATCTACTGGCAAAAGCAATGGGTCTGTCACCCTTCTCATCCATGTGGGACAAGACTGCTCCTACACCATCTGGTGAAGCATCACATGTTAATATAAGTCTTTTCCCTGGGTCATAGTGAGTTAGTAAGGTGTCAGAAGACAAAGCCTCTTTTGCTGTATTAAAAGCAGTATCTTGTTGTTTACCCCAGTGCCAAGTTGCATTTTTCTGTAGCAGCTTGTACAGTGGTGATAGTTTACCAGACAGATTTCCTATGAACTTTGCATAGTAATTTATCAAGCCCAAAAAAGCTCTTAGTTGTTGGGTATTTTCAGGTTTGGGTGCTTCTTTAATGGCTTTTGTTTTCTTAGGTTGAGGTCTGATACCTTGCTTGCTTAATATATAACCAAGAAAACTAATTTCTGTCAGCATGAATTGACATTTATCTTTGTTTATCTTTAAACCTTTTTCACCAACAATTTTCAATACTTTATCAAGTGTTTTAAGATGTTCAGTGTCATTCTTACCAGTTATGTACACATTGTCAAAGTACACACACACATTTGGAATATCCTTAAAAATACTGTCCATGACAGCTTGGAAAATTCCAGGGCTAGATGATATGCCAAAACATAGTCTTTCATATTGGTAGAGTCCTTTATGTGTGTTTATTGTCGTATAGACTTTTGAATCTGGATGCAGTTCTAGTTGAGTGTAAGCATGACTAAAGTCTAATTCAGTGAATTTGTCTCCTTCTGCCAAATTCAAAGAAATTTCCTCAATGTTAGGTATAGGGTACCTATTTAGCTCTATTTGCTTATTCAGTGTAGTTTTATAGTCTCCACAAATTCTTATAGAACCATCCTTCTTTAACACTGGCACAATGGGCGTTGCCCAATCGGAATAGTCTACCTTCTTTATGATGCCATTAGATTCCAATCTACTTAGCTCATTTTCAATTTTATTCCTCATTGCATAAGGTGGAACTCTTGCTTTGCAGTATCTTGGATTTGTGTCTTTAATGCTTATCTTCACTGTTCTATCATTTAGTAAACCTGAATTGCCAAAAAACACTTTTATTTTCAGATATTACTTTATCTATTGAAGTAAGACTAGATTCTCTTGCATTGTTCAATGAACATATACTCTCCCAATTTAACTTAAGATTACTTAACCAGTTCCTACCTAGTAATGGTGGTCCATTTCCTTCAACCACAAGAAGAGGAAGTTTAACACTTTGACCATTATAACTTACATGAACCATACACTCTCCTATTACCGGAACATTGTCACCAGTGTATGTTGTTAGACACTTGTGACATGGTTGTAGAGGCACTGATCCTCCTGTGACAGCGTCAAAGTCCTTCTTTGTGATGACTGTTAGAGATGCTCCAGTGTCAAGTTGGAAGCTGATGCTCTTACCGTTGATATAAACTAGTACATTGATGGGAGCATGACTTATTGATTTCACAGAGAACAGGTTGAAATCCGGCTGCGAATCAGTTTGAGCATTTTCACAGGTAGAGTGGTTCATTGGTTGGGTTAGGTAGTCTTGGTGAGAGTTAACATAGTGCTGCCTTTGGTTGCGGTACTGTCTTGACTGGCTAGATTTAGCAACAGACGAAGACTTTGCAAAGCAGGCCTTGGCAATGTGACCTTGCCTACTGCACTTATAACAAGTTGCAGACTTGAACTTGCATCGATGAGATGCATGGGGACCTTTGCATCGATGACATTTTTGATAATTATTACTAGATTTAGATCTAGGATTTAAATGTGCAGGCTGTTTAGCATAAGTTGAAATGCTCTGATGGGGTTGATGTTTGTTGACTAACCTGCTGTTTACTGCATGGATCTCTGAAGGCGTTAGAGATTTTGCCGCCTCAGATGACTGCTGGAATGAAGTTGCAAGTTGTATTGCTTTTTCCAATGTTAGATCTGACTCGAGCAGCAACTTTCTTTGAACATCAGGGCTGTTTACACCTGTCACAAACTTTTCACATATTCTGTCAGACAGCGTGTCTCCGAATTCACAAAATCTACTTAAATGACGTAACGCAGCAACATATTCTGATATTGACTCGTTTGGTTGACGAGTCCTACTGTCAAATCTAGCTCTACATAGAAACTTTGATGGGGTAGGCGCATGGTGGTCTGTTAGCAATTTGCTCAGCTCGTTAAAGCTCTTGGTAGTTAGACTAGCTGGTGCGCATAAGTCCTTTAGTAGCCTAAATTGTTGAGGCCCTATGACTGTTAACAAAACAGCTCTCTTTTTGGCTTCTATCGTCACGTCGTTAGCTTCAAGGTAAAAGCTTAACCTATCTAGGTAATCATGAATGATTTCATCATTCGAATCAAATTCTTTTATTTGGCCATACAGCGCCATTATTCTAGAAATACTTAGCCAATATGCTCTAGCAAACCTCTTTTTTGCGTAAGTAGGTGCTCCTTCTAGTGGATTATTTATCCTCGTCGCCAATGTGATGGATTGGAATCACTGACGAGAAGCCACATTGATTGTTAACAGTACTTTATTTACACCTTGAGGAAAGAGAGAGAGGGCGGAAGTCACGAGACACTTATATACATAACATGTAAGGGACATCACTCAAGATAACAATATAAATATAATACTAATACAGAAGAGTGAGTTCCCTTGACTTCACAAGTCTCACTATATTACAGTTACATGCTGTAAAAATAACTGCAAAAGTTATTATAATTATTGTAAAAGTTATTGCTTCAATTATCTTCATTGGTGTCAAATGAAATACTGAATGAAGATAGCATGGTAATAGTAACTACTGCTTCACCTGGTAGTAGGATTGATCTTGTCTTTTATCAAGCATTATTCCCAGGAAGAAGATCCTATGGAAACAACCAAACAAAATCAAAGTCAGTAATTATTTACTAGAAGACTTACTCAAAACAAATTGAAAGTTTTGGATGGCAATGCATTGAAAGAATTAATTATAGTAATACAATTTATGTTTGGAGCTTTGTTGATGTGTTCCACTTTTCAATATGGAGTCTCACCATCATCTAATTTATGATATTCTTGATGGTAATTTACTGGATCTGGCAGAAGACTATATAAACGACCTACAAAAATCCAATGGAATTTGACCAACATGGTCAAACCAAACTGAATTGAGTATCTAAAGAAGCCTCAAAGTAAGAAATTCATCTCTTTTTCACTCCTGTTTTCAAGTTGAAGGGATTTTGGTTGGCATTCCCTTGTGGAATATCTCAGAGAGTCTTCATGTAGTTTGTGCATGATAGAAATTTTGTTGGCAGCTCAATATCATTGAGCTACCATCTCTATAACTGCCTTTTTTGAAGTTACAAAGTTGGTCCCAAGCTCAGTTAAAACAGGAGGAGAATTGAGCAAGGGGCTCAACAAACCAAGCTACAGAAACTACAACATCACCACCCCATCATCAACTCTGTGGAGGAGGTTCCTCTTTGGAAACAGATTAACTCTACTTCATTTGCCCTACAAGAAAACACTTAACCTTCTGCCATCTTGTCTGGATTATGGCATAAAATCATACTATTAGCTACAGGAAAGGCTATTAGCTACAGGAAAGGCTATTACAAGTGAACTACTCGTTTATCATACTGAATCATATAAGTGACCTTTTACTGAGAATTTGTCTTGTTCTCCAGTTGGGAAATGCCACCTAAATTAACAACAGAATTTACAATTAATCTCTACAAATTTGTTCCTTATATTAACTTCATTACATACACACATTTTAAGCAAACAATCTGTGTAAAAATGGTATGAATTTTTTTCTCTACAACTCTGTAGTTTTATTTTTTGTGACTGCTTAAATTAGTTTTAAATAAAATCACAAACATGCACTGTAGCTTTAATTTATCTTTATCTCAAGGTTTATTGGAAACCTGGAAAAAAAGGTAAAATGACAGCAGTTGATCACTTGTATGTGGGAGTACCTAAGGGTCAATGCTTTGGTCTGTTGGGAGTCAATGGTGCTGGTAAGACAACAACATTCAAAATGTTGACTGGGGATGAAAGTCTTACATCAGGAGATGCATTCATTAATGCTCACAGGTTAGCCTCTTACAAATATCAAATAAATTGACAGACAATATATCTCTAAAATAACAATCCTAAATATGCTTTAAAATATCAAAATTAGCTACAGTTATGATCTCACTTCACTCCTGCTGAGATAGGGGGCTGCTAACTCTCAAGCTGCCTCTATGTGTAGCTTGGTTGTGTTTACCTCAAGATGCCTACACTGAGGATTCACTTAAATGACTACCTTGTGATTTTGGTAGAAGAGTTACAAAACATGTGCCCTGCACATCTTTATCCTCCAGACTTTAACTTTACAATTCTGTCCACAGGCCTACATAATTCTTGAATCTCATGAGTAAAAACTTCATAAAACTCCATACTAAATGTATAATATAAAAGTCTCACTAATTTGTAACAATTTTCACTTTTTAAAATATGAATTTCTTTTAGTGTAAGCCAAGATATGGTCAAAGTCCGTCAGTTTATGGGCTACTGCCCTCAATTTGATGCCCTTGACCCACTACTGACTGGCCGAGAACATCTTGAGTTTTATGCCAGAGTAAGAGGAATTTCATCTACAAATGTCAAAACAGTAAGTCTGATTTTTACAAGCTTTTATTTAACTTGCTCCCTCTTTCTTTCCTGCTTTTGTCATGCATCGTCATGGACAGGAACTGCTGAGCAAAATTAAGATCACTTCTAATTGACCAATTTGTTTCAAACTTGGCACATGGGCTAAGACCAAAATATAATGCCACCTGAAATCAACTTGAACTTAATTGGATACCCAATTAATTTTTTTATGAATTAATTAAAATTTCCTATATAAAGTACTACATACATTGCAATTATATGTACATTTTCATGTTAATTTGGTGCACAACAGATTTTAGTTTTGCAATTCTATTGTATTAAAAATGTTAAAGTTTTAAAGTACTGAAAATTTTTTAAAAAAATATTTGAAAAACACACTTTTGTATTTTCTTCTTCTTCTTCGTTCTTAATTATTAGTGTTGAAGGGGATCGAGATTTATCTGCAAGTGGGTTTGAACTCGAGACTTTGTTCGAATTCATCAACCATGAGCTTTTTGCCGACTCGACCACGCCTCCAACACAATCAAGCGTTACGTGTCAACTGGTTATGCGCCATTGAGGCCATTGACTCCGATTTCAGCCTGCTTTTCTTTTTGGATTTGCTTCCATAGCCTTTGTCCAACCAAGAACAAACTACAAGGCAGCAGTTGTTTAATTTTGGAGTTGTCTCTCCTAGAAGAGTTGCTGTCCCCAGCTAACGAGCCTCATCTGCCCGAGGGCTCGAACTCGAGACTTTTCGGTTTAGCAACCATGAGCTTTACCGACTCGACCACGCCGACCCCTACGCTTTTGTATAATTATGCACTAAAAAGGAGAAAATAAATCATTTTCTTTATATATAATAATGAACTACTAATAAAATAGCTAAAAATAAAAGCATGGGTTGCTTCTTAAATTGTAGTAAAATTATTCAACACATAATATAGCAACCCACGATTTCTTTGTAGTTAGTAAAATAGTAGTTATTTATTATATTTAAAGAAAATCATTTATTGTCTCATATTTAGTGCATCCTAATATATAAAAGACCATGTGCGCACCTCTCTCTCTCTCTCTCTCTCTCTCTCTCTCTCTCTCTCTCTCTGTCCGCATGTCCCGAGCCTAAGAGATCAGTATCTTCAACAATATATGGAGAACTTAAAAATACAGACTTTTGTTGAAGTGTTTTAAATGTATAAACTAAATTTTATTTCAAGAAAGAAAATAAAAATAAATCAACATAAGAAAGTAGAAACACATTTTTAATTAGTTGTGACAAGAACGCAATAAACAATGATGTCACATACCACATGTTTAAACTACGGAAAGAACACAACACAACTGGCGTCATCTCCCAATTTTAGATTATGAAAAAATGAATTATTTCGTTCAAATTTGATTTAGATCTAGATCCTATAAATCTACTTATCACAAGATGAACGCTATGAAATGCATACAATTTCTCGTTTAAAATAATACAATTCACGTTTAAAAAATAATATAATGACGATTGAACAGCTGGGTTTTTAACTGAATCATTTAAGTCTCTTAATCAGTGTGTGCATTTGACTAATAATGTATATAATTTGGTTTTAATTTTTCTAATAGGTATTGGTAGCCTATGTTATATTAAATGTTGAGGGTTTTTAGCTACTAAGTTATTTCATTGCTGTGTCACTAATATCGTTCAACGTGTAGTAAAGCACATTGTGTTTTGACCAATAACTATTTTATAATTTTTTTTTTCAAAATAAGTATAACAGTAAAAAATATATAGGCCTATAATTCACTTGAAATTGGTACCTAGTAATTAAATAAAAGCATGTTATTAGAACTTATTTATGTATTTTATTAATATGTGTATTAGTTAATTTTTCTAAGCAGATGTTGTTTTCTAACTGTAAGAAACCTTGAGTTTGTCCACCTTGTACTGGACACAGTCTTGAGTTTGTCCACCTTGTACTGGACACAGTCTTGAGTTTGTCCACCTTGTACTGGACATAGTCTTGAGTTTGTCCACCTTGTACTGGACACAGTCTTGAGTTTGTCCACCTTGTACTGGACATAGTCTTGAGTTTGTCCACCTTGTACTGGACACAGTCTTGAGTTTGTCCACCTTGTACTGGACACAGTCTTGAGTTTTTCCACCTGTTTGTACTGGACACAGTCTTGAGTTTGTCCACCTTGCACTGGACATAGTCTTGAGTTTGTCCACCCTGTACTGGACACAAGATTAAGTAAAAAAAAAATTATAAATTAAAAAATACTTTTTTTTTCAGGTTCTGTATCATATTTTTATGTTCTTTTTATACTAGCTGACCATTAATACATTTAAATCATGGGATGGAAAACATGAGATAGCAAGACATCCAAAATATAAATACTAGAAAAAAAATGAATAAAACAGACAGGCTCTTCAACTAAATGATTTGAATTTCCATCTTGACTTAAATATTTCAGACTCACAGATAACTTCAGCTTTTATGAAATCATAGAATTTGTGAAGCAACAAATAGCATCCGATATTATATTTTAGTGTAATAAACTGACAAAATAGGCTACAACTTTTCCTTTTTTAAAACTTTTCCTGTTTAGTTTTATTTTATGTTTAAATAGCTAGAAAATTTTTTAAAACAAAATGTATCTGTTTTCAGGTAGCAGACTGGGCTATAAAAAGATTAGGACTTGTGCGCCATGCTGATAAAATCTCTAGCAGCTACAGTGGTGGGAACAAAAGAAAATTGTCTACTGCTATAGCTCTCATTGGAAATCCACCTATCATTTTTTTGGTTAGAGATTTTTATTTTTTAAATTAGAAATCATTCTACAATGTTTTATATATATATATATATATATATATATATATATATATATATATATATATATATATATATATATATATATATATATATATATATATATATATATATATATATATATTATTTTCTTTTTTTATTTTACCCTACCCTGCCCCCACCCAATATGAAAAACTTAAAATTTGTACAACTTATTTAAAAAACACAGAAAAATGATTATAAATAAAATAAGGAGATTCCTTTTCTATAATTCAGTCTTTTGATCACTTGGCAAAACATTTGAAATAAACAAGTGAAAACAATTGTTTTTTTTTTAGGATGAACCAACAACTGGAATGGATCCTGGTGCCAGAAGATTTTTATGGAACTGCATAAATAACATAGTAAAATCTGGCCGCTCTGTCATTCTAACATCACATAGGTAGGCTCACATTTAAAAATCACATGCATTTATCATTCTTGTGTTTGACATTTTATCCTAAACATTTATCATTCTTGTGTTTGACATTTTATCCTAAACATTTATCATTCTTGTGTTTGACATAATATCCTGAACATTTATCATTCTTGTGTTTGACATAATATCCTGAACATTTATCATTCTTGCACATGAAAGTAAGTATTAAAAAGCAAACTATTGGTCAGAATTCTATAAGGTCCAAAAAATTGCACTCTTTTTATTATGGGTTAGGTTTGCCTGTCGTCCCTACTGGGACATAGGCAGCTGACAAGAGCTTTCCAGACGTCTCTGTCCAGGGCTAGTCTCTCCAACTGTCCCCAGGTGTATCCAATCTTCTTGGTGTCTTCTTCGAGGTCACGTCTCCAGGTCTTTCTTGGTCTGCCTCTCCTCCTCCTGCCCTGTGGATTCCAGGTGAGGGCCTGTCTTGTTATGCTGGATACAGGCTTTCTGAGTGTGTGGCCAATCCATTTCCATTTTCTCTGGAGGATCCCTACTTCAACTGGCAGTTGATTTGTCCGTTGCCATAGAACATCATTTCTGATGGTTTTAGGCCAGTGAATTCGCAGGATCTTTCTGAGGCATGCGTTTATAAATGATTGTATTTTCTTCTTATTTATAGCAGTTATTCTCCATGTCTCAGCTCCATTTTTTTTAGAGTAAAACAGGTTTTACTAGTGTGTTGAAGATCCGGATTTTTATTCCAACGGTTAAATCTCCAGAACCCCAAACGTTTTTTAGTTGGTCCTTATTTTTATGTCTGCTTCTGTCCCACCCTGCTTATCAACAATACTTCCAAGGTAGGTAAATCTATCCACTTCTTCTAGGGCTTCTTCTGCCAATGTTATAGGGTTGCTGTTTGATGCATTGACTTTAGTTTAAGAACTTTACTTTTCCCTCTGTGGATGTTCAGGCCCAGACATGTAGAAAAATTAGCAACCCTGTTGGTTTTATCCTGCATTTGCTGTTGGTGTGTGGGAAAGAAGGGCCAGGTCATCAGACAAGTCCAGGTCATCCAGCTGGCTCCACAGTGTCCACTGTATACCGTTTTGCGTTTTCTTTGTTGACATCTTCCTAATCCAGTCTACGGCCAGCAGGAACAGGAATGGTGAAAGTAGGCAACCCTGCCTTACTCTAGTCCGTACTGGGAAGGCCTCTGTAGTCTGTTGGCCATGCACTACTCTACATTTGAGACCTTCATATGAAGACATAATAATGTTGACGATTTTCTGTGGCACCTCGTAGTGTCTCAACAATTTCCACATTGACTGCTATCAAGGGCCTTCTCATAATCTATGAAATTAATATAGAGAGATGAGTTCCACTCTTGGGTCTGTTCAATGATGATGTGCAGGGTAGCAATTTGGTCTATTCATGACCTTTCCTTCCTAAAGCCTGCATGTTGATCTCGAAACTGGGGATCTATCGCTTCCTTCATTCTGTTTAATAATATTCTGTTGAAGACTTTGCCTGGGATGGACAAAAGTGTTATTCCTCTATAGTTAGAGCATGCGCTAAGATCACCTTTCTTTGGAAGCTTTATAAGTAGTCCCTCCTTCCACTCCTCTGGTATTTGTTCATCTTCCCATATTTTCTTGAAGAGTGTGTATAGTAGTGTGGAGCTAGTTTTTATATCTGCTGTCAGTACTTCTGCTGGTATACCATCTATTGCAATTTTTCAGCTGCTTTATAAATCTTTATGTATCTCTTCTTTTGAAGGTGGGTTGCAGTCTATAGGGAGGTCACTTTCAGCTGGTGGTATGTCTTGCGTGCACTCTGGTGTTGGTCTATTCAGTAGTTCTTCAAAATGTTCTGCCCATCTCTTCCTCTGTCCTTCCGCATCAGGTATTATCTTTCCATCTTTGGTCTTCACTTGCCTCTCTGGCTTACTGTACTTACCAGATATCTTCTTTATTGTATTGTACACGTCCCTAATATTACCATGGTACAGTGCTTTTTCCGCTTCTCTTGCCAGCAGTTCCAAATAACTCCATTTGTCTTTCCTTGTGTGTCTTGACATTTTTGTTCGTTTAGGTGTATTCTTCCAGTGCTTTTAATTTAGCAGCCCGTGTGCGGCTATTGTTATGTTGCCTTCTTTCTTTTTCTCTCTTCAATAATTTTCATGGTATCTGCTGATATCCATTCCTTCGCTTGTCTTCTGATAGGGCCTAGCACTGCTTCGCATGTTGATGTTAGTATGCTTTTAGTTTTTTTCCATGTTTCCTCTTCTATTAGTTCTTGTAGTATCTGAAACCTATTGGACATATGAAGTTTAAATTCATTGAGTTTAGATGGGTCCTTTAGCAGGCCTGTGTTGTATCTGTATTTCCTTTTGTTTTCCAACATGTTTTTTTCAGTTTAAGTTTTACTTTAGCTACCAGTAGGTGATGGTCTGAAGCAACATCAGCTCCTCTCTTGACATGTACATCTTGAAGTGATCTCCTGAACTTTTTTATGATACATATATGGTCTATCTGGTTTTCTGTAGACAAGTCGGGTGATACCCAAGTAGCTTCGGGAACAGGGCATTTCCCCCCTGTCAATTACCCCCCTGTCAATTACCCCCCCACCCAGTAGGACATTACCCCCCGGACAGGGTTAGAGTTAGGGCTAGGGCTAGGTTAAGGGTTAGGGTTAGGTTTTGGGCTAGGGTTAGGGTTAGGGCTAGGATTAGGGCTAGGGTTAGGGTTAGGGTTAGGGTTAGGGTTAAGGTTAGGGTTAGGGCTAGGGTTAGGGTTAGAGCTAGTGTTATGGTTAGGGTTAGGGTTGTGTCTAGCGTTGGTTTTGGTTTTGTGTGAAGTTTTAGGCTAAGGTGGGTGCTTAGGTTTTGGTCTTTTTCTTAAGGTTTGGATTAAAGTAGTATAAAGGTATAGAATTCTAGTTAGAGTTAGGATTCTAACTTGAGAGGGGGGGGGTAATTCCCCGAGGGGGGGTAATTGACAAGGGGTAATTGTTCCTGGGGGGGGGGAAATACGGGGGGGGGGGGCGAAATGTCCGGGGGGGGGGAAATTTCCAGGGGGGTAATGTCCTGTAGCCAGTAGCTTCATGTATCCTTTTGTGATGAAAGAGACCCCCTCCAAAGACTAAATTATTTGTGGCACACAAGTCAGCAAATCTTTCTCCGTTTTCGTTCATCTCACCTAAACCCTGCTGTCCCATACATTCTTCATATCCTCTGTTGTCGCTTCCAATCTTAGCAGTGAAGTCGCCCATGAGTATAAGGATGTTTCTTCTTGGGCGGTTCTTGATAACGGTCATTAGCCTGTTGTAGAATGCGTCTTTGTCCTCCTCTTTGCTGTCATTTGTTGGGGCGTTGGCCTGTATTATGTCCATGTTTATTCGTCTTATTTTAGTTTTAAAGGTAGCTGTTATGATCCACGGGCAGTGTGCCTCCCATCCAATGAGAGCCCTTTGTGCTTGGTTTGATAGCATGAGTGCAACTCCTTGAGTATGTGGTGCATTTTCATCCTCATGGCCTGAGTACAGCAGTAGCTCTCCTGTTATCAGCCTTTTTTGTCCTGAGCCGCACAGGATAGCTATTTTATAGCATCTCATTTCTGTTGCTACTTGGGTTGCTTTTCCGGCTTCGTACATTGTGCGGACATTCCAAGCTCCAATATTGATGGTGGACCTGGTGGAAATTATGGTGGTCGACCTGGTAGTTTCCAATACATATTGGCTTTCACCACCCGGCTTCATAAATTCTCCATCGGGAGATCCATTCTTCCCCTGGTCCGAGCTGTCTGCATTTCTCTTTGTCTGCGTTTCTGTAGCGGGTAATTTGTTTTACGATATAAGGGTGCTCTTTTATTATGCAAAACTTAAAAAATGTGCATTTTTTTACCTTAAACTTTTTTCCTATGAAAGCCATCATAATACCCTCATGACAAAAGTGTCTGAAAATATGGTGGGAATTGCATTATTAATAAAAATATCCCCTTAAATTGCATGAATCTGAAAATATATTGGGAATACAAAAGTGATCAGTATTTATTTTTGGCACATTTTTCACACATTAACAATCACTATTTTTTATTTTGTCTTGTTAAAACTAATTTATTCCAAAATATCTTTATTACTCAGCATGGAGGAGTGTGAAGCTCTTTGTAACAGACTTGCCATTATGGTCAATGGAACATTTCAATGTCTAGGGAGTATACAACACCTCAAAAATAGGTTAGCTAGTTTTGATGTCTGGGAAGTATGAAACACATAAAAAATAAATGAGTTAAACTGATTGATTTTGCTAAAAACTAGTTTAAATTAAAATGGATGAGTGTGTAATCTCTAAATTTGTCCAATATTGGTACAAAATTTGTAGTCAATAAACTAGGGAAATATTCTGTTTGGAGACTGCTGCCTACAAGATCAAAGGCTTAAGTTAATTCATTTTCTTATCCCAGTTACATAGTGATTTAGTTAACTAAAGTAATATTCAATCATTCAGATTTGGCAATGGCTACACCATAATATTGCGTGTAAGTGGAGAAAATCCTGATGTGAATTCCATCATGCAGTTTATTTCTTCTAATTTCCCATCAGCAAAACTGAGAGAAAAACATCACAATATGCTGCAGGTAATACTGTTACATTTATTTCTAAAAATGCTACACACAATAAGCATTTTTTTAAAAAGTTTATAAAATTTTTTTTTAGAATAAACTATTATCAAAACTTATTTAGCCTATTTTATTTTATTATACAACTAAATGCTACATATGATTACAGCAAAAAAAAATTATTTTCAAAAGAAAAATGATAAATAGAAAAGAATCTGTCTTTATTTTTGTTTTTATTTTTTAAAGTGGAATTAGACTTTAAAAGAAATGAATTGGACATTAAATAGGATTTAACTGTATGTGTATATGTGTGTGTGAGAAAGAGTGTGTGTGTGTTCTTTTTCTGTGGGTGATTCCTTATCATTTTAGTTTTCAGTTTTAACATGAAAAGATTTAAAACAACAGTCAAGCAACCAACTAATGATTGAAATTAGTTTATATCACACTCAAGCTCTTATTTTATTGATGAAATAATGACAAGACTAAAAGGTATTGATGATAACTTTTTCCACTTTAATTTTTATTCTTTCAGTATCAACTTGGCACTGAAAGTCTGTCTTTAAGTAAACTATTCGAAGCCATGGAGAGAGCCAAACAAGAGAACATGGTAGAAGACTACAGTGTTTCTCAGACCACTTTAGACCAAGTAAGTTGCTTTCTTATTGTAAGACTCAATTTATTTGTTGTTCATTTGTTGACCTTAGATTTTGGGCCTTAAAAAGCCCCATAAAGTTGACCTCATGAAAGCAATTTGAATTGCTTGATGTATGGCTTTGAAATACAAGAATGAGGCCTTTCCTTCTGATTCCTGAATGACAGACATGTGTTCATGTCTTTTTGTGAAAATGGCATATAAAGTGATCATGTGGTTGACACTATGTCAATTTACCTTTTCTTTTCCTTTTTAAAGGCAGGTATTTAACAAGCCTAACACTTTAGATATATATATACACTTTAGATATATATATACACTTTAGATATATATATACA